GACCGATATGCTAGTCCCATGGAGGGGTGGTTGTCCACTCATTCCTCAAAATTTCCTTTGTGAACATGACTCGTTGATTTAGCGATGATGATAGCCTTCTGTTCCTTTTTGTTCTCTTTCTACCTCCCTATCGCGGTTCCTTCCCTTCATGTACCTATGTCTTCACTGCAGGTTGAAAACCTCGTGACGCAGGATGACCGAGGCGACATGTCTATAATCCTATGCCTGCCATCTGTCTTTGCTTTTCCGCTCTTGATTCCCACTACACTTCTTCTTTTCACCACTTTTGTTTTATTGATGCTTCATTTCCTTTGTTGGAGTGACTCGAGAGCACTGGAGTAGTTCTTGCTCGTGCACTTTGGGCGTTTGATGGCCTCTACTACCCTATTTCTAGATGTCTATGTATTAAATATTCTTGGCGTGTGCGCCATTTTCTCTTCGACATTGTGTTCACTTGATTCGATATACCTTTTTCCCTCCCCGCGTGCTTTTGCCTTCTCCTATTGTCCTCACTACTCCATTCTATGTGTCCTTGGCAGACGAGAAACCGCCTCGACGTGATCAAGCCGGCTTGAGAACAGGATAATGCTTGTGAATTAGATATTGAAATGTACATTTGAATTGGACGAAGCAAAACACCCAATTGAGTATCGCGTGAATAAATTAAAACCATCCGAATAGCGTATACTTTTGTATGCAAAAAGGTAGAGAGAGTTGGAGCACCTTCGTCGGAGGCTCGCCACTGGCCGACCTAAATTCGGTCTTGGCGCCCGCCGCGGCGTTCTTGCAGTTCCTCGCCGCGACCTCCATCTTGCCTGCGTCTCCCCGACCCTCTCCAACGCCTTTGTGTCCCGAGCTTTTCTCTAACAACGGCTACGGCCGACTTTACAATAACAAGTCGCCGATTCTATATTAAATCCATTGGATAATTACCATCCCCTTGTTGTTGTTGGCCTTATTCTCAATAACGCGGCGACGATGTGCGGCTCGGTTTAAAGCCCCATCACTGAAGTATTCGAACTGGAAGTTTCTCACCACCGAATGCTAAAGTCTTAGACTTTGCTATCATAAAGCTCTTCCAGGACCTACCAGTATCTGCGATTTTATCTTACTTCGGCTGTGCAACCTCGAGAAAACTCACCCTCACAACATGGATCATCGAACATTCGTGTCGGATTCTCTCCTCCGCCTTACGAACGCGTCGGACCCTACCGTCGTCGACTTCGTGCTTGCCACCGCCAGTTCCGCCAAGTCAGCTTCTGCTTTGCAAGACAAGCTGCTCCCTTTTCTGGACGGTAGCTCCGATGACATTGGTTCGTTTTGCGGCGAACTTTACAAACGGGTTGGGGTAAGGGCCGGGTCCAGCGCTACTAGTGCCAATGTAGCAACCAAAGAGCGCAGTGATGCTGCTTCATCAAAGAAGAAATACCGACTGCTGGAGATGGAGGATGATGACGTACCCGAGGCCCGGGGGTCACTAGGCCCTGCGAACGTCGAGGCCGAACGGGACAGACGGCGACGCAGAGATAAAGATCGGAGTACTGGAAGAAGCGGCAAGGACAGCGAGAGCGGTCGCAGCCGCTGGGAGAAGGATGATAGCCGCAAACGCGATCGCAGTCGGGAAGAGGAATCTCGCGACCGGCCCCGCACGAAGAAGGTACGGCGACGGAATGCCGATGACTTTGATGATCGCTGGGGAGATGAGGAGATACCTGAAGATGAGCTATACGAGGATGAGGAGCAGACGGGTGAATTTGAGGAGTCGCCTTCCAAACGGACTCGGTTGGAGGATGGGTCGGCGTCGCCGCGGTCGAATGCCTCTGAAGAATTGGATCCAGAGACGAAGAAGGAACAAGACCGGAAACGCGACCTGGAGGAGCGAGATGAGTTCGCGAAACGCCTTGCTAAGAAGGATGATAGCAAGACGAAGAAGATCGTCGAGGATCGGACAAGGTCTGGTGAGGCTGCGCGGCGACGAGCATTGGCGGATGATGCGTCTGCGCGGGCGGCTGTCATGCCTGACTTAAGGATGCGCTCGCGACAGGAGTATTTGAAGAAACGTGAGACGGAGCGCTTGGCCCTCTTGCGCAGACAGGTCGCCGAGGAGACGGCAGAGTTGCGTGATAATCCCCATTTGACCCGCAAGGAGAAGGAGGAGTTCGCGCGTAACCGAGAAGTTCTGCGGATTGCGGAGGAGCGGTTGCGGATTGATGATTATCGCGATGGTTATATGATGCCCGAGGACTATATCACAGAGAAGGGCAAAATCGATCGGAAGAAGAAGGAAGACGCGCTCTACAAGCGTTATGTGGATCGCGATGACGCTGGTCAGGAGCGGTTCATTACGGAGCACGAAGAATGGGAGATGGAGCAGACAGCCAAGGCTAAGGCACAGATCAACCGGGCCGAATTCGTTGACGAGGGCGATTATGAGTACGTGTTTGATGATTCGCAGAAGATCAACTTCGTTGTGGACGCCAAGATGGAAGGCACTCGAAAGCCTATGACGCAGGAGCAGCGCAGGCTTCAAGAGCAGATTGATGCGGCCGAGAAGAAGGCACAGTCGATGGAGGACACGCGGAAGAGCCTGCCCATCTACCAATTCCGAGATCAGATCATTCAGGCAGTGCACGACCACCAAGTTTTGATTATCGTAGGAGAGACTGGTTCTGGTAAGACGACGCAGATTCCGCAGTACCTTCATGAGGCTGGATTCACCAAGGGCGGCATGAAGGTCGGATGTACACAACCGCGTCGAGTTGCTGCCATGAGTGTGGCTTCTCGAGTGGCGGAAGAGATGGGAGTGAAGCTGGGGAACGAGGTTGGCTATGCCATTCGATTCGAGGACAACACCAGCGACAAGACCGTGCTTAAGTACATGACGGATGGTATGTTGCTGCGTGAGCTTTTGACGGAGCCCGATCTCGGCCAGTACTCTGCATTGATGATTGATGAGGCGCACGAGCGAACAGTGCCCACGGATATTGCCTGTGGTCTCTTGAAGGATATTGCCAAGGCACGGCCAGATCTCAAATTGCTGATCTCCTCCGCCACGATGGATGCTCAGAAGTTCCAGCAGTATTTCGACGACGCTCCGATCTTCAACATCCCCGGCCGGCGGTACCCTGTTGATATCCACTACACATCTCAGCCGGAAGCGAATTACCTGGCTGCGGCCATCACGACGGTCTTCCAAATTCATGTCACTCAGGGTCCTGGAGATATCCTCGTCTTCTTGACAGGTCAAGAAGAGATTGAGGCGGCGGAACAGAGTCTCCAGGAAACATCGCGAAAATTAGGGAACAAGATACCCGAAATGATTATATGTCCAATTTACGCCAACCTTCCGTCTGAGCTACAGACTAAGATCTTCGAACCGACGCCGCCAAAGGCACGGAAGGTTGTGCTGGCAACGAACATTGCTGAAACCAGTTTGACTATCGACGGCATTGTCTACGTTATTGACCCAGGATTTGTCAAGGAGAATGTCTTCAACCCGCGGACGGGTATGGAAAGTTTAGTTGTAACTCCTTGCTCGCGAGCTTCCGCTAACCAAAGAGCCGGTCGTGCTGGACGTGTCGGCCCGGGCAAGTGTTTCCGACTCTATACTAAGTGGGCTTACTACAATGAGTTGGAGGAAAGCACAACGCCCGAGATCCAACGGACCAACCTGAGCAGTGTCATTTTGATGCTGAAGTCCCTGGGAATTGACCAGCTGTTGGACTTCGACTTCATGGACCCTCCTCCGGCAGAGACAATCATTCGTGCCCTGGAGCAGCTATATGCGTTGGGGGCGCTGAACGATCGAGGCGAGCTGACCAAGATCGGGCGACAGATGGCCGAGTTCCCAACAGATCCCATGCTGGCCAAGGCGATTCTAGCAGCCGACAAGTACGGCTGCGTGGAAGAAGTGCTGTCCATCGTGTCGATGTTGGGTGAGGCGAGTGCGCTCTTCTTCCGACCCAAGGACAAGAAGATCCACGCGGACAGCGCGCGGAATCGCTTTACCATCAAAGATGGCGGCGATCATCTCACGTTGCTCAATATCTGGAACCAATGGGTTGACTCCGACTTCAGCTATGTCTGGGCCAAGGAGAACTTCCTCCAGCAACGGAGTCTGACACGGGCGCGCGATGTCCGCGACCAGCTCGCGAAGCTATGCGATCGAGTCGAGGTGTCCGTGAGCACTTGTGGCTCCAACAATCTGCAGCCGATCCAGAAGGCCATTACGGCCGGATTCTTCCCCAACGCGGCGCGACTGCAGCGCGGTGGCGACAGCTATCGCACAGTGAAGAATGGACAGACGGTGTATCTCCACCCATCCAGCACGCTGTTTGAAGTCAACCCGCGGTGGGTGATTTACTTCGAGCTGGTGCTGACCAGCAAGGAGTACATGCGTAGCAACATGCCATTGCAGGCAGAGTGGCTGGTCGAGGTGGCGCCACACTATTACAAGAAGAAGGATCTGGAAACGCTGGGGTTGGAGAAGAAGATGGCGAAGGGGCAAGGCGCGGCGGGCGAAAAGAGTCGGAATTGAGGATGCGAGAGAATATAGTAGAACTATTCTTTATATGTTGATACCAAATGAACAGCTAGCAAACTATAATGTATGTATGCATGCATGTACATCTACTTGCCATCTTAAGTATCTATCCTATGGTCTCATAGTAGTAAGGTACTAATTCCCGCAATACTCGCAGTGCACAGCCGTGACCCAATCACAACCCGCGGATTGCAACACGCGACAAACCGACCGCGGCTTTTCCCCCCAAACCAACCTCGGCATCTTCGCATCACCTCCGCCCGCGCCGCCAACTTAAACCACCCAACTTTCCGACCCCGGATTCCAGATTCCAGACTATCCACCCATTCTACCAACAATCACCGCTATTCAACATCCACTACTACCACCACATTTGTCCTCCCACAAAACTACCAAACCAAACCAAAGGATACTACAAAGTAATAGCGAAAAGAGAGAAAAAAAAAAGGCTAAAAAAATGTCCCAAACATTCACCCCGGCCGACGTATCCGCGCACAACAATCCCGACAAGGGAATGTACATCATCATCGACAACAGCGTCTACGACGTCACCAAGTTCGTCGATGAGCATCCCGGTGGCGCGAAGATCTTGAAAAGGGTAGCGGGCAAGGATGCTTCGAAGCAGTTTTGGAAGGTGTGTTTGGATCTCTTTCTTTCTTATTTAGTCCCTCCCTTCTCTGTCTTTATCTTGTCTCTTTTGTCTGGGTTGCGTGTTGCTGTTCTTGATAGCTGCTTTTTCTGTTTTATTTTATCCTTTTAGTTTTTTTTGCCTGGATTTGCTTTCAGGCTTGGGATTATGTTGGGATACTGCAGATGCTAACATCATATGTTCTTCTTCTTGTTGTAGTATCACAATGAGGGCGTGCTGAAGAAGTATACGCCCAAGTTGAAGATTGGGGAGGTTAAGGAGACGGCGAAGTTGTGAGATACGGGGGTTTATTGTCTATTTGTCTTGTTGGAATGGGGATCTTTGCTGTTGAAGTTCGGTCACACATATACACTTTAGATGTCGGGGTGATGCTGCTGCTGCTTGGAGGGGGAGACTGCTCATGGTTCAAACAGTCTTAGACCGTCTATTACTAATAACATTAAACAATAGCTAATTAACTAGCTAAATACTATTCCCGCCAATATAACGAACGAGCAAAGTGTGGTATCCATAGCCGGCGCGCACTTGGTCCAAAGTGCCTTGATAAATCCAAAATACAGATAACTATAGCATCCACTTATAAATCATGTGGGCTTGGAATATGTTCTAGTTTGGGCCTGCCCTTTCAGAATTCTCCGAACGGATCATGCCGGAGATGCCCGCGGCCCTCTGCGTATGGCGAGTCCAGCTCTTGGTTTGCGCTCCAGGCGCTCGACCCCTTTCGACTGTGTCGCGCAGACCGCGGGCCCTTGTATCCATTTGTTTGGTCGATGAACGCCTCCATGCGGACCGTGCCAATGGCGTCGAAGAAGTTACCCGTCCGCACACTGGTTTCGGACGTGCGACGACTGACGCTGGCCAGGCTGCCGTTGGCGTATGGCACTACAGGACCGTAAGTGTCTGAGGAGCCGCGCGTCGACGTCGCTGAGGGCATGGTAGCCTGGCTTGAGAAGCTGCGGATGATCGGCATGCGGGGAGAAGTGTTGCTGCGCTTACGCGCATGATTCGAGAACCGTGGCACTGTCGGCGGGTCTGCAGCATCCATCGACTCGGCGGCTTCTAATGCAGGCGGTAGTTCAGGCACAGGCTCCGGTTGACTGAGAAGGGATCGTTTTCCCTTGGGTCGCGGGCGTGGGCGGCCCTTGGCGATTCGGATAGAGTCCCGGATTGGATTACGGCGCAGCGTGGCCGCGTGGGTGGGTGATGCGAGTTCCTCCTGTGGGACTGGAGGTAGGGAATCCAGGTCATGGAGACCCATGGAAGAGTGACTCAGGAATGACAGTGCAGTCAGCCAGACATAGTGCCGCTCAATGCTGGAGGCAGTGAACTTGAGGGCACGCTGAGGTGTTAAGATCAGAATCGACCGATTGAATTGGTTTTGAGGGTTGAAGCTTTTAGGCAGCGGATTGTCATCCTTCACATCAAGGACAGATTGGATAACCACTAGATTAGGGTCAGTATGAATAAACCAAGGTTAGATAATAATACGCAGAGGTTGACTTACATTTCCTACCGCTCTTACCCAACAGGGCTGGCCCGCTGGTCGGTTGTTTGCTGCTCCACATAACTGCCCGCTCATACGGCGCCAGCCAGACCCATCGCTTGTGTCTTGCGCCGCTGTTGGTAATATTTGCAGATACCTCTTCTGCATTCCGCCCATCCCAGTTCTCCTTCGGCTCGCCGACACCCCCAAACGACCTCCGTCTCCGGATGTACTTGTACATCCACTCCCCGACCATTGTCTGTGCAATCGCGTCAACAACGCTTGTGGGTTGGACAATGGTGGCTGTAGAGTCCTGCCGTCCGTGCGCAAAGGGGCGAGACGCTGTCGGTGGGCGAATCGATCCCCTTTGGGCAGCTCGTTTACCTGGAGGCGCAGTGATGTCGTCGTAGGGAAGGGGTGGATGCTGGGGACTGTCTGGCCCACAGGACGATGAGGACATGGTTGGCGACGAGCGGCTTCCGGGACGGTCATGCGGATCTACATGCGACATGGCAGCCGCAGACCGAACTCTGCGCAGGGTCGGGCGTCGAACAATAGACGGTCTTCCTCGATCCGAGAAGTTGCGAGGATTGGACGGTGTTGGACTCTGCCGTCCGTCGCTGCCGCCGGGGAATTTCCTGGAACTGAACCGCATCGGCACAGGAATGGGAGGTGCAATGCCATGAGCACCATTACCACTCTCCATACTCGGCTCGCTGGGGCTCCGCTCGCGAGGTATCCGATGTGCTGCTGCCCCGTTGGAGATCATGGCTGTTTTACGGATATCCTGCTGCCTTGCCCCAGAAGCTCCAATGCCGAATCGCTGAGTCCACGAAGATGGTCCAACTACCTCCTTTGAGCCTGGGTCAATCGATGCTTCTGCCAAATCAGCCTCGGCTTCTCGTAGATGCTCGTCAATTTCCGGAAGAGGAGACTCGTCCAAGCTAGGACGTCCGTGCGTAGAGACGAGCTTTCCTCTCTTCAAGGTATACGACGCAAATGGCCGGTTCAAGAAATCATCGTCGGTGAAAACGTCCTTGGGCTGCACAGGGGTCTCTTCATCACTCGCTTGATCGAAACCAGCAAAGAGGCTACTCGATCGTAGAGGCCGCTTGTGTTCTGACTTGGACCCCTCAGCCAGCGGGCCGTTGTCATTGTTTCCCGGATAGGCTTGCACTGGCTCGGCTGGCTTGGTGCGTACAGATGCTTTGCTCTCCCGTCTCTTTGATCTTGGAGGAGGGGCATGATAGGGCTGGATAGGAGGATCCTGGGCATTTTCGCCCAGTGGGAGGTCGGGTATCGCTGATGGGAGTAGACTGGCTGGTAACTTGACAGGCCTTTGATCAATCCGAATCTCTTCTGTCTGGATGCCAATGGTTCGACTGTCGATGCTCGGAGTGAAGTTAGCCTGGCAGGAAACGCTCTTAGTTTGGGGTGGAAGAACCACGCTCCCTCGGGGCGAAGGGGGCTCCGAGTGTGGCGGGTGTATGGCGATCATTGGGATATCAATTTCGGGCGACTCCATGTCGTTTGGCGAGGCACTGACTCCCTTGTCATTTGTCTGTGCAACAGGAGTTTGCACCGTCTGTACCGACACAGACACCATCGGGGTCACCTCTGGGGCGGGCTGCGGTGTCTCGTCCAACTTAGGAGTCCATGGGGGAGTGGGAAGGTCTTCGACAGTTTGACAGGAAGCCGATACCATATCAATTGTAAGCGCCGATGTGCCACTATCTTTACCTTGATAGTGATTCGCAATTTTGCTATCACGGCGCTCTGCAGTCTGCTCCACGGACGGTAGTTCAGGTTTTGATGGTGACACGGGCGACGGGGGAGGCGAATACTGGATGCCTGCGTCGCAGTACACATAGGGTGTCGTGGTCATTTTCAAAGGGCTACTGGGCTCTGAGCCCCCATCAGCCTTGAACCCATGGCCATCTGCACTGGTCAGAGAAAGACCGAGGATTTTCCTCGCCTTTGCACCCATGCTCATTGTGCAAGAAAACTGCGAGTGAACGGAAGCCGGCCGTTCTTCTGGAAGTGCCTCGGGCGACTCTGGTACAAAATCGGTTTCAAAGGACTCGAACTCGTCTTCCTCGTCAAATGCCAGTTCTTGAGCCAAGCTCAGCCCCTCGCTCTTAAGACCATGGGCGGTGGCTACACTCGCGACGGAGTACCGCACGTTGTGATAGTCAGTCTCATCGACGCTGTCAGCACTCACACTTGTGACACTGGTCCGACGATGCCCTTGACTGCTTCTTGAGTCAACACTTGCAGAGTCGCTGTCTTTCCCGACTTCTACCAATGTTGCGGTCCGATCACGCCCAGAGTCATCGAAATTCTGGGCTGAGTGAAATGAGCCAGCTGCTTGAGCAGCGGCTACCTCACTCAACACGACCTTCAGGCGCCCTTCCACCACATGCACTTTTCGTTCCAAGTTTCTCCGTTCGCCTTCCCAAGCATCTTTGTCTCGGTTCCAAAGCTGTGCCGTTCTCTCTACCTCCTCTTCACGGCTTCGTGCCTTCTTCTGGGCTTGTTCTAGCTTCTTACGGACATCTGTAATGTTTTCTAGGGCTTCATCACGCTCTCGTGCTAGCTCAGTGAGGGCGGACGAAGATCCACCTTCCAGCAGCTGCAATTGATGCTTGAGCGAACGAGACTCCTTAGTGCTCTTGGATAGACGTTCAGTGAGACCTTCGTTCTCCGTTCGTGATTCGTCTAGAGTCCGTTCGAGTATATCAATTGCCTTTGCTTTACCCTCCACGTCTCGCCGCAGAGAAAGAATTTCGGAGACAAGTGAGGCATGTAGTGTAGGTGTGAAGCGCCGCGGATCTAGTGGCGACAAGTTGTCCTCGTCAGCAGTATCCTCATAGTCACTGCGGGCATCGGGCGAGAAATTCAGGATCGGTAGGGAATTAGGCGAAGACGACAGGCCGGGGGAGGAATCTGCCCGAATGTGTATCGAAGGAGGTCTTTGCGGTGTTGCAGACGGCGTCGGGAAGGCCCTCGCCGCAGGGCTTGAGTAGACGGTCTCAGTGGCCATTGTGTGTGTATGCCCAAGGTCGGTGGATGTTCGACAGCTCAACGCATCCCCTCAATTGCAACTGAGCAACCAAAGATTGTAGTACCGCGTCATGCGCTTTCCATGAGCTTTACATATGCTGTGATCCTCGACGTCCCCAGCAAGGACCAGCTCGACTGGCCGAGGTCTAAATGTGCCAGCCGTTCGCCCGTCAAAATCTATTGAAGCGTCGTGGCTACTAGTCTTTCTGGCGCAAAAGGGTAGACCTGATCAGCACATGGTGTCTGCTTCGAGCGCCAAGGGACGCGGTTGGAAGTAGGGCTGGAGACCAGATAAGGCATGCATAAACAAGGATGGTACTTACCTGCGATCGGATCAGAGTTTCAAGGCTTGCCACCTTCACAATGCATAGGCTGCAGGCGCGTCAATGCAAATGAGTGTGCTAGGGAAGAGAGGCCAGTGAGGGGGAGCGAAGTATGAACTGAGTCAAGGTCTCTCTCTTGACGCGGGGATGGGGAGGAGGGGGGGGCAGGATGTATGGAGGGAAACAGGATCGGAGGGCGATCAAGAAAGCAGCAGCGTCGCGAAATCGGATCCCAAAATATTTAGTTTTATTACCTGCCAGATGCCGCGGAAGTCTAGACAAAGGATCTGAGGGGAAAGGGGAGATTGTTTGCCAGGCCACCCTCTAGTGATTTGGAGTACACCGGCTCAAGAGCTAAACTGGGCCTTGCACGAAAGAACCTTGTCCATGACCCATACATCGGGCGGGGGACAGCTAGCCCAGTAAATGAGTGATAAAGGTAGGCCCATTCGACAGCGGAGTTATTGTCTGCCAGAACCAGAGCAAACTAGCGCATTAGCTTCGTCCAGGGGTGTTCGTTAGGGGGAAGATGGGGAACCGAAGGCCAACTCCACGCACCCAATGACTAGTGAGGAGAGAAACCACCGAGCGGCTCCACTAGAGCTTGCCACAGCTGGGCTCGAGGATCCCGATCCAATAGGCAAGTGATAGAGGATGTGTCCGACAGTGCGACGGATCGGCCGCCGCCATTGCAGATGAATGGCTGGTGACCGGCGGACTGGTAACAGCCAAACCCTCGTCGGTGGAAAAGCATAGCCAATGAAAGAAAGCAGCCGAGCAGAAAATAATAATATGTAATAAAAATAACAAGAGGCAGTGATACCTGTCTACAGAAGGAAAAGGGACTCGAGTCGAATCTGAAACAAGGCGACATGCATTGATCCTAGCACACCGCGGGAACAGGGGATGGCAAACGCGAAAGCAAAAGCGAGGGGGGCAAAGAAAAAAAAAATTATAATAAAACTAATCAATATAATCAAAAGGAGGATGGTAAGCTGAAGATCGTCCCCGTGTACTTTGTACTTTCTTCTGCGAATCCGATGAAAGTGTATCCGATGGGAGGGGGCAAGGGAATCCCAGCACGAAGTAGGAAGGGAAAAATGGAAAAAGGAAAAATAATTCAACAAAAATAAAATTGGCATTAATAGAAAGATAAGCCAATTGAATGAAAAAGCAAAAACTTACAAGACCAAGCTAAGGTGGACTAAAACGCGACCGAAGTCGACCAAAAAACACGGCCGGCACAAAGACTGCCGGGCGAAGGTCGTTAAAAACCGTAGTACTTGAACTTGACGGCAGTTCGTGTCAGTCACTAGTCGGGTCCACCGGTGGACTCAATGGGATCGTCGCCTCTCCTCGATTTCGATTCTGCGCCTGCTGGTTGGTGAGTTTGCCTTAAATATGACTTCTCTCCGATGGCCAAGATATATTGGTAGCCTCGTTGCCATTTATCGGCCATACCGGGCGAGCGTCTTGACAGTGGATGTTGAATAGTCACTAGGATAAGTGAGGCCAGCCTGCAGGGACTGACTCTAGCCGACGCGACGATGGGAGTACTAGCCGTCGAAGAAAGTTTGCATCTCCCCAATCGTATGATTGAATGGCGAGCGGGAGGCTTCAGAACATCTTGTTCAAAGCCACCAATGGATTTTCCAACAAGCCCGTGCTTCATGTTTCAGAATCCCTTCACCAGCCCCAGAAAAAGCTGCGCAACTTATATTTAGGAAAACCATCCCGTCACGTCCTGATGGAGCGCTTGTTACCCCCGATCTGCTTTCAGACCCGGAGTAGACTCGGAGTTCCTTCATCAAGTTGGTCGTCCCGGAAGTTGGTGGTTCAATTGTCAAGGGCACCTAGTACAGCATCTGACATACAATCACATGGGAGGCGTTTAATTTCCGCGCTTTGTACTCCATACAGTACTACCTGTGCTCGTTGATTCCCGAGCCCAACACAAACCAGAAGGGGTGCACGAGAGGAACAGTCGGGAAGGATCCTTGGGTGCTTCCGTTCAGCTTAGCTCCCCACTTATCATTTCCCCTGTTCCCTGGTTCAGGACCACCTTGGGAGACGGCCCGGCGCTCAACTTTTGGGTAGTGTCTCCAGTCCGGAAATTACATACCAGGGAGGCGGGGAGACTGAATGACCCTTTGCAGACTTCCTTGCTGTTGGCAGCCTGCGAGGGAAAACGTCTCCTCGTGATCACTTCTGCGTCAACGGACGGGATCTATAGTAAACTCGCCTTTCCTGTCACCAAATCATCACGGACCTCTGGGGTGGATATGTATTCATATCGAATTCATTTAACGGCTTGGCGACCATCGATGTTTGCCGTCTGCGATCACCTTTCGCGCGCGGTCCGTGTGACGCAAGGCGATGATGTGCGTTAGATCGTAAAGGAATGGAGCAAAAAGGACTTGTCGCCAGCTAGTATCTATCTAGTTATCAATCCGGTGTTGCTCAGTCAAATCAGCATCCGACATTCGTCCCTGGCTCAATTAAGAGAACGTGAGCAGTTACGTACCAAAGCCAATTGGCTTGCAGTCTAATCGGCTGTAGTCTGCGCCGGCTTCAAGCTTGGCGACCCACGCGGCAAGACGGACTGGAATTTGCGCCTTCCGGCCTTCGTCTCAGGGGTAAACCGGACCTGACAGGTCGGCCGTGCGTTACCTGAACGGCTGTGCAGGCTGCAGTGTGAAGTAGACAGGGATCATACTTAGACAGTCCATATTAAATCGTTGTATACAATAATAACTATAATACTAGTGTTAATATCCTAATATCCAGTAGTGACTCGTTAATACCTCGCCGGAGAACATCCGCGGTTGGTCTGGACTGGTCCGGCTGGTGTCTCGGATGTTGTCGCGTCGCTCCAGAGAGCACCAGGATCAACTATCATAGTACTAACAACGCATCCCGAAAGAGGCGATCACATAGATAGTGTCTTCCTGGCTAGACTAGGAGACCGAAGAGACCTCCTTGGCACAGTCGACGAGAGTCGCTACTCCGGTCTTAGACAGACCAAGATCACGCCGTTTGAAGGATCATCGGGCTGCAGCTGTCATTATCCAGGAAAGGATAACTAAAAGATGCCCTGGTCAGCCAACGGTGAACGTTCAATGCAGGGCCAGCGATGCGCGGACCTCCAGTGAAAACGTAACCCCGTACTTTCCTGTCTATTAACCTGAAGCAGCGATGGATGGTGATAATGTGATAGATCCAGGGATCACCGCAGCTTGTGGGGTTGGGGGAACCTCATTTAATACTTTCTTTGCCTCTCCCGTCTCTGTACAATCGTGTTAGAGCAGCCAGTCGGGAGTCTAATCCGAATTCTGAACAGCAAATAGAAGTAATGAAAGTCTCGTCACTTTTCGAACACGGCACAGAGAGGAGGGGGTAGAGAGCTGAGAAAGGAGGGGGTTGGTCTATGGGAGAGAGAATGAGAGAGAATGAGAGAGGGAGAGTCGATCGTTTTGCATGCTTTGCATCGCCAGAACTCTTGGCTGATGTTTCTGCCGGGACACACTTTCTTCTCCTTCGCCATTCTTTCCCCTCATGACTTCATCGTCGCTAATTTCTTCTATTTTTTGCCCAAGGATTGTGGGATTCATATATCTAGATAGGTTAGACAAACAACTAGAGCCGTGGAATCATCAGTAGGAAGTGTTGTTGATGCTTTAGCTCGCTCGGCGCCTTCGGACATCCTCTCTGCTACACCGCAGCGTGCATACCTTACAGATCCGCGAAGTACCGCTATAGAACGCATCTCCTCCGTACCCCGTACACACATTCGCCAAGATTCAAAGCTCTAAAATTACGTCCCGACAGACAGGCACCTTCAGCGGCGTTGTGCAATACGGAACACGGACAGTGACACCCGAACCTTACATCAGGTAGATAGGTACGCCACACGAGTCAAATCATACATTCCATCATGTCGATCAGCCCACTTCCAAAAGTACTATTCTTTGACATCTTCGGCACTGTCGTGGAATGGCGCTCCTGCGTTACTCGGGCCCTGATGAAAGCGGCTGAGCATGCTCTGCTCGATCCTGGAAAGCAGCTTCCAGCGGACGTCCGCGCACGGGTACAGGCAATGAGCCCCGAGGACTGGCAGGCCATTGCGGAAGAATGGCGCGCGTCCTATGGCCGGTTTACGAAGGACTTTCAGCCATCATCGACGTTCGTATCGGTCGATGAACATCATTATAGTTCCATTCAGCAGTTGCTCCACCAGTACGGTCTCCACGACATTTTCTCTGATGAAGAGCGGTGGGACCTTGCACTTTGTTGGCATCGCCTCGAGCCTTGGTCAGACTCGGTCGAAGGCATCAGGCTGTTGAACCGTCGCTTCCAGACTTGTACGTTGTCGAACGGCAATGTGTCCCTTCTAGAAGATCTTTTGAGACATGGGTCATTGCCCTTTAGTAACGTGGCCAGCGCTGAGCACTTCGGAGCCTATAAGCCCGCCCTCCAAGCGTATCATGGAGCAGCCAAGCGGTTCGGCTTAGATCCCAGTGAGTGTGGTATGGTAGCAGCGCATTTGTACGATCTCAAAGCGGCAAAGAAAGCAGGCTTCATGACGATCTACGTCGAACGGCCCCAGGAGGAAACCTTCACCGCTGAACAAATTGCCGAAGCCAAACAGGAGGGTTTTGTCGATTTGTGGCTCGAGCATGGCTACAGCGGCCTAATTGGAGTGGCTGAGCAACTTGGTGTTCAGAAGGAAACGAGGCTGTAGGATTGAATTCTTGGGGGTGGAATGGGTCCAGGCGCTGGCTTTGCACGCCATTTGCCGAGCACAAAGTGGTGCAATGTCATCTGCACCACCCGAAATATTGTCCAGGGTATTCTTTCTACTGATGCAGTCTTTCCTGTCATTATATTCAGGCATTAGCATATCCCCCTACACGCTTGCTTTAGGAATGACGATAACTTAGTCTTCGGTTAAATTCTCCAAGCTCTGCCCCGCATCATAAGATGTCATCATCGTGGCGATTTGTCAGCGCCCACACCTCAGGATATGTATAAACAGAAGCTGACTGACAGTTCGGACGGTAATACTGTAAGCAGTGCGCTCATCTTCCGGTGCTACTTGACATATCAATTACCTTGTCGGCTTTAAACCGATTCAGTTGTTAGCAATATGGCGGAACAGGTATAGATCGTCTTTGATGAGTCTGTCTAGAACACGGGATAGCTAAGCTGTGACAGGAATCCCAAGTGCATCGCCATGCTGATGCAGATGGTCACTTCCGACGCAAGGATTCCGCCTTCCGCTCGGCCGTATCATCAGATCCTGATGCAGAATTTCCTGCTGAAAGGGATCGTTATGTTCTATACTTGAACTACGGATGTCCGTGGGCGCACCGGACCAACCTGGTTCGATCTCTCAAGGGCCTAGAGGACATCATCCAGCTCGTCGTTCTGGACCCTGAGCTGGGCCCCGAAGGTTGGTTCTTCTCTGGCCGATGGGGATCCGCAGAAAAAGATCCCTTGTATGGGTTCACAAAATTGAGCCAATTCTATTTCAAGGCGCAGCCGGACTATGAAGGACGCTATACCGTTCCGATGCTTTGGGATAAGAGGAAGGAAACGATCGTGAACAACGAGAGTGGCGAGATCATCAGGATGCTTTACACAGAGTTCGACCATCTTCTGCCGGAGGAGCTGCGTGAGGCCAACCGGCCTGGCGGAGGATTCTACCCGGCACATCTGAGGTCAGAGATTGACGCAATGAATGAGTGGGTGTATCACAAGATTAACAATGGAGTGTACAAAACCGGATTCGCCACAACGCAGGAGGCTTATGACGCGAATGTGTATCCACTGTTCGAGGCCCTGGACCGCGTTGAGCAGCACCTGGCACAGCCAGGCCATCAACCATACCTGTTTGGGGAGAATATCACGGAGGCGGACATCCGACTGTACACGACCATTTGTCGGTTCGATGTAGCCTACTACCTGATCTTCCGCTGCAACCTGAAGATGATCCGACATGATTATCCGCTGCTCGACCGTTGGTATAGACGACTGTACCATGATGAAACACAGCGTACCCGAGGCGGAGCATTCAAGAAGACCACTTTCTTTGGCATAGTAAGTGAACCGTGATAGTCGGAAGGTGGCAATTGCTAACAGTCTTGAGCAGTACAAGTTCAACTATCTGAAGGCGCTAGGAAAGCGATCGGGCAGTACTCAGACGATCATACCGGCTGGTCCATTCCCGGACATCCTGCCCTTCGAGGCGTAGTGGATAGTAATGATCACCAGTGGCGCGTGAATAGATTTGCGCGGATATCGGGCATCGCTGTTCGGCATCACAGGGTTTCGATGTTACCATACCCTGCGTTGCTTGAGAAATGTGGATTAAAAGGGATTATCGAGCGCACAGAGCATGTCCTGGTTCCCGGTTTTGCTCGTCCTTTCCTTAGCTTAAGGAGAAGCGAAGGACAAAATCCACGACCAAGCTTCCCATGAATTGCTTTACGCAACAGCCACTTTGTCAAAACAGGCGACCGTTAGACTAAAGAACACTGGTCACTTAGTATGATGAAAGGAAGTAGTTTTGCAGTCACCATATAACTACCGGTCGGCTTATTAGACTTCAAGGCCGCAATTAGACTTTGCTAGTCAGGGCAGTCGAGGGGGCAGATGAGGGACCATCTAACGAGGAGAGGCAATTGAACCCGGGGGGGACATGTCTAACGCAGAGAAGACCTCGCATACTATCCGCATCCCCCGAGGCACGATGCCCGACTAGAGAATTGGTCTACTTCCTAGACTGCCTTGGCAAAAGCTGTCGGCCAAAATGCCCAATCCGGGTCTGGACAGGATTGCCAGGCACGAGGCTTTTTCTAAGATCGGTCAGGATGGATTCGAAGATCGGTTTCATCTGGTCGCAGACGGCTATGCTCTGTCCTAGTGGACGGCATGCAAGACGATGAATGGAATAAAAGTTGAGGAGGGGGCAAAGGTGGGCTCGGCACGATATATTCGTAATATCGTAAAAGAAGTGGGTGGGAAGGAAGCCACCCAGAATGCGTCTAGAAGGAACTAGATATTCGCGACAATTTCCTTTCTCTGCGGAGGTCCTTTCAGGGGGTTCGAACTATATTACTCGCTTCTATGGAGAAGCAGGATATGTGGCGGATTCCACTTCACCCATGCAGAGGCAACGGATAGGGGGGTTTTTCAGTGGAAATAAATGAGACATCGGACATAAGTATGGTTTTTTGGGGAAGGAAATCCAGACAGTAGAAGAGTACACCTGTCGTTGACGGGGGGAGGAATGGGAAGGAAACGACCAAGGTTAGCTGTTGGTAAAAACTAGAAAGTGGAAGCTGTCAGGATGCACGGGGATCCAAAGCCATGTGCAAAGTGGGCAGGTTACCTAGTAAATAGTCGATACTAGTCACTAGCCGGTAATTAGTGACCCAGGCAGGTGGGACGCCCTTATTTTTTTTTTTTTTTTCTCTTCTCCCCTCTCTGCTTCTTACGCTGCTGTTCCCCCCTGATGCGTTCGCATGCTTGGCCGCAGATGGTGCACTGTTTCTCTAGCAACCAGGGCCCTCATAATCCTCAAGCAGCAAGCTGCATGCGCTGGTTCAGAAGTTATGCATGATCGGTGGAGGTCGAGATAGTTAGTTATCTACATTGATGCAGGTCCTTCATGGGGTGCATGCAAGTCATGCAGCCGGTAGGTCTAGGTTGGCCGATGGAGAGGGGAGAGGGAAGGGAAGTAAAACGCACTGGCGGTTATACTAAATATTAAGTATGTATGATGTTGCCGCTCCTAATGTAGGGGTCCTCGACTGGTTTTTCTACACAATACATACATACATCTGTTGTTGAGAGTTGTTAGGCGTTTCATTTCGAGGAGGGAGAGAGAGAGAGGAAGAAAAAATAATAGTAAAATAAAAAACATATATAGAACAAATAATAATAATAGTAATAATGATAAAGAAAAATAATATCAAAAAAGCCTTAACCAAAGAATTACTCATTACTCATAGCTTTCTTGACTGGAGCAGGTACGGAAACATGAATCTGACCTGTTCCGGACTAGCCGGCGGTCCATCCACCGTTGAAAGACGTGCGAGTCAGCTTTGATTGTGATGGGACGAAGACTAAGCCGGTAGCGTCGGCTACGACTAACAGACACACCAATGAAGGGAGCGGACATCCCGTCGGTGTCAGAATTTTCTTCCAGATTACCTATCATGAAGATGACCAGGTCCGGCGATTCAGTGGGAATGGAAAGACCGACAGATTTACTTCCCCGAGGAGAATGGATTCTGGACCACGGACCGCCGTCCAGTAGATATCAACCACACAGTACTAGATAGCAGTAGTTACTACTTAGTAGTAGTTAAGTAGTCCCCGAGAGCTACTTTAGCCACCCACGTGGAAGGAAATGGGGCCGGGATATTACTCGCGATGCTATTTAAAATGATGGATGGCTTCAAAGTCCCAGGGGATAGGCCACATCACGATGGGTTCGCGTTCCTGGTGGATTCGTCGTTGATTAATTCATATTAATCTAGATGTCAACAACGGTTGGAACCCCCCGAGAAGGAAGGTGCTTAACGGATAGATAGCATACAGTAAGCGGGATTCTGCTTGCGACGAGACATTAATGCCTACTAGTTGTGGTAGTGTGCGTGTGTGTGTTTTGTGTGGTTATCCAGGGGGATTCATTATTCTCTTGTTGAATTTACAGTTTGTCCTCCCGTAGCCGAAAAGACGAAACCCGGTCACACTCGCGGTAAACCAGAACAGGTAACTAATGGGAGAATCAAGCAAGCGAATAGGAAGGATGAATCAAGAGCAGGCCGGTACTCCGGAGTAGGTTCTTCTTCAAAAGATCGCGCCTATAATGTGGCTTGGTAAGAGTTTGTTCGCTCTCGGTCCGGTCAATCGGAGGAAATTTTTCTTTCAATCTTGGTCGCTCCGCACGATCTCGATGGGATGGAAGTGATTCGAAGACTGACTCTGGGTGCGTCGCTGTAGTAGGCAGTAAGCTCTAGCTCAAAGGAAGGGCCGGAGGTCCAACTCTCGCGCTATGGACCGGCCCGATACTTGATCTGTACCTCCAACAATAGTAGAAGGTCACCCAACAGATAGCCAGCAAAGTTCAGAATATGCTATTAGTTAGTTAACTAACTACGGAGTATAGGTATTTCACATCGTCTTCGAGGTTGGAGAGCCCTGTGTTACTAGTCAATTAGGTCTCTTTCTTTCAAGGTCAACGGTACATGCAATACTGTGCTACCTCGAACAGTTGATCTCTCCTAACCTATTTAGTGTGTCTCAAGGGGCTAACATTTTAGCTCATGAATGGTGACCTTTTGCTTCCGATAAATCTCCCTATGCTGCAGATGCAATAGGGGGGGAAGGACAATACCTTCCCCTCCCCACCAGGGTGTCTCCAGGGATTTCCCATCCTCGAACTAAGACTGACCGGAAGCCGATTTGTCAAACGTCATATACCGCGGCGATGGAGACTTTTGTTCTACTTAGCTAGCCCCTTTTCGTTGTTCGAGAACGCTACTAGTCTTCTACGGTGTTGGGGGCACCTATATCCACGAACCTGTTACTGGTGAACATCAAGGTTAACTCCCCAATAGTGTGCAAATAATGACTAATAGAATACTCGTAACTCACTAGCATTGTCCGAGGTCGTTGAGGTTTCCCACGCACTTCTGGTTGACAAACAACGACGCTTCGCATCTCAGGTACAATGGCTCTTGGGCGAATTTGTTACACTTTTACAAAATCCCGATAATCAGGAAGATTGGTTTTAGTCCGGTTCCCCAGGGGAGAGAAGGGGGGCGCGGAATGTTCTTTCCTTCTCCCCGTCGCACTTGAGTGGAACTTGCGACTCTTAGGGCATCGTCAACCGTGAAAATCCTCCTGCTACACGGGATGGATGGGTCCTCATGGACCTACTTTGGTCCATACAGACGAGTGGCTTGCTCCATAAGGCGTCATATCGAGCACTGCCTTTCTGGTCCCTTGGTAGAACTTCGGGCAGTCACCTGGTGGCGCAAAAGGTTCTTGTTCACCAGCAGGTATCTAGCTTTACTCGCCTGGGCACGGCATGAGCAAGTGTGGTATGGTTTGCCTTTCATCCATCGCGGGTTAAATGTTGGCACCACATGCGCATTGGATTTCTCTTTGCGCCAGGCGAATGATTGTTCCTTAGTGCCTCCGTGATAGGGACACTCAGAGCTAATGAACTTGTTCCTGACTCCTGATCCAATCTGCAAATCTGCAATCGGGGCGAATACCATTTGTTACCAGTTACCATGCCCGTTCTGACTTATGTCTGTTGTGGGGAGCCAGCCTTGAACTTAGTGTTTCCATGCACCCACATCGTGTCTACCCGAAACCATCTCAAGACTGAACCTCAAATTGAATGCAACTCCTTGTCCTGTAAGCAGCGGACAAAACAATCCAGGTGGGACAGGGACCGGTTTATGATGTAAAGCACGAGGCGTCGCAGGCAGCAAGCTTTAAGCTGGTCGTTCGTTTGGAAGGTTCTGTGGATAGACAAATGCAATAGGTAGTTCGTTCCTATGCAATTCTAAAGATTCCTTCCCAAACATATACCCATGTCAGACAATATGGTCCAGATTCTAGGTTGATCTCGGTTCACTGTATGGGTTGTCGGGTTCAAACTGGTTCGTTCCCAGTGTGCGTGGTCGGTACAACATGATCAGAACAGCGAAGGTTGGGTCAACTCCTGCAATTCCCCAATTTACTTGGTAGAGTGTAATCTATATGAGAAATCTTCGATTCTACGTCAGAACGAGAACAGAAAAGAGAGGGAGCGAGAGAGAGAAGAGGAGGGGTTGTTGTTACCTGAAAGTAGCGGATACCCACCGGGAGACTTCCATACCGGGCAAAATGACCGTATCATACCGTACCCTACCACTTGTTTCCACAACTTCCCGTGGGTCTTGGGTTGCAGCATTGTCCAGCTCCAGATTACTACCTTCTTACTTACCTTCAGTAAGTAGTAAGGAAGTTGACTTGGCCACTCACTCATTCACTCACTCAACTTAATGACCTGACGGATTTGACTGCCTCCTGCCTGAGAACTGTCATCCTGTGACTTTTTTTTGACTCTCTCGTCTCATCCACTTCTTTCCTATCCCCTCCTTCGGTCGGTCTACTTGACTTTACTTTACCTGACTTACTTCCACCCCCTCCTCCTCCTACTGCAACTTCCTCCCTTCTCTGTTCTTCTCACTCCATCCATCTCGCCTACACTGTATCATTGTTGCCTCTGCCTTCTCTCTCCCATTATCACCTTACGATCTTTTCGATTCAATCCCAACTCCAATTGTGTCTCGTCCGGTTAGGTTGATTCTAGTAAATCATTGGTTCCGATCTAGCCCATCCATTGATTGATTTCCTACTACTACCACTACTACTTACCTCTTGAAACTAAACCGCGGTTGTTGGTCTCCAGCAGGGATCATCGTCTCCGCTACTTCATTATCTATCATCCCTCTATCCTAGTCATCCTTTTTTTCGCCCTTTCTTTTCTTTTTATTTAATTTTTCTATTTTATTTTATTCTTCCTCATTTTAATTTTCCCTTTTACCCTCTCCATTCCATCCCCTCATCATCCTTCTATTATTTCTTTCTGTACTTCTTGGAATCCTTCCCATCCTCTGTTCTCTCTCTATTCCTCTCTCCCTCTTACTTTTCCATTTTCCTCGATTCCTCCTCTCCCGGGTACACCTCTCATTCTTCGGGACCTTAAATTGGAACCATTCCCAAAACAACAACAACAATTGGGGGTTGCCCCTCTTCCGTCGAATCTTTTCCGGCCAAGCCTCTTTGGACCTCCTCTCCCTTTAGGTCCTGCGCCTCTTCCCCTCCTCCCCCTCCACTCTCGTCAAAACTCAGCATCCCCCCCGAAAAAAAAGTCACCTTTTGCAGCCTGCGGATACTTTCTCAGTACATCCGCTGCTGGCGATCATTGTCTGCGTCTCGCCCCTCACGTGGCAGAATTACCTTGAGGCAAACCTTCCTGTGTGTCTCGAAGCTCGGGCGAGCCCCGTTCATCTTATTTTCTTACGTTCACGCGGAGTTCCGGGCCAGCTCACTAATTGAACTCCGCCCGCTTGTGCCATTCTGCAGCTGTGGGTGGCCGCTTATTTGAGAGTCCTCGAGCCAAATCAAGAGGTTCTCCTTCACCACATTCTCTTCCAATATTTGGTTGCTTTTCCCCCCTCCATTGCTTTAGAGGTCGCAGTAACGAGATTTCGGCGACTTCTTGATCGCTCTTCGTTCACACCTTTCTCCCTCACTCTCTTTCCTCCCCTAATTCCCACCCTCTTCCCACTGCGTTTTAGGTACGTATTTTCCCCTCCCTTACCCCCTCCTCTGGCCTGCTCCTGTCGCTTCCGGTGTGGACTGGTGAGCTTGGACTGGGGGTCCAAAGGCAATGGATTCCGGTGGCTAACCGCACTACCCAAATAGCCGTCCTCCTTAGGACCCCAGCGTTTCGCGAATCGAAACGCTCCGTTCCCGCGTCCGTGCTCACCGTGGAGCCTTCATAGATCTCTTTGCTTTTCTTTTCTTTCCCTCTCTTCCTCTTTTCACTCCTGTGGTCTTTACCCACCCCCGGTTGTTCCCCAGTGACACACCCAATCATTTCTCAACCTATCACCCTACCATTCTGGTAGATTAATCATTCACCATGTCGGGGAAAATGACATTGTACAAGTTGGTGGTGCTAGGGGATGGTGGTGTCGGAAAGACAGCCCTCACAATTCAGGTTAGCCCTTCGCGTACCCGCCCGCACTGGTGTCCCGACAACTGATCTTTGGACCTTGGTCTTTCCCAACAGCTTTGTCTAAACCATTTCGTTGAAACCTACGATCCGACCATCGAAGACTCGTATCGTAAACAAGTCGTGATTGATCAACAGTCGTGCATGTTGGAAGTACTGGACACAGCAGGTCAGGAGGAATATACTGCGCTGAGAGACCAATGGATCCGTGACGGCGAAGGGTTCGTCCTCGTTTACAGCATCACCTCGAGAGCTTCGTTCTCCCGCATACAGAAGTTTTACAATCAGATCAAGATGGTCAAGGAATCGGCCAACTCCGGATCGCCCTCGGGGGCCAGCTATCTGGGATCCCCGATTCACACGCCTTCGGGGCCCCCGCTTCCGGTGCCGGTCATGTTGGTTGGTAACAAAAGCGACAAGGCCGTTGAGCGCGCCGTTTCGGCTCAGGAGGGACAGGCGCTCGCCAAGGATCTTGGTTGCGAATTCGTCGAGGCTTCCGCAAAGAACTGCATTAATGTGGAGAAGGCCTTTTATGACGTGGTCCGCATGTTGCGACAGCAGCGTCAGCAACAACAAGGGCGATCTCAGGATAGACGAACGACCGGTTTGGGTGCCGGGCGTGATCCTGGTCCCGAATATCCCAGATCGTTCCGGCCCGACCGTACAGGAAGCCATCGCCGCCCTTTCAAGTGCACGATTCTGTGAATAGTTGGCTCCGCACGGCCCGTTCAGCTGGCTGATTGATTCCCTTCCCGGCTCCTAGATGCTGGCCCCTGCTGCTTCTGCTGCTGCAAGGATCACACACCTATATTTCTCGATCAGTCAGTGATCTGATAATTTTTTCGCATTCTTATCTCTTTTTCCCTCGTCCCAACTTACGTCTGCCTCTGGCCTCTCTATCTCATACTTCTCTTATATGACCTCGTGGAGGTTCGGACCAGGGGCGGCATCTTTCCCATGTTCATACCGGTTGGTCGCAATGCGCCGTCCAGCAAGATCTTTACGCCAACGTACAACTTTCGACCTGTTTATTGTTTCGTTGACGCTCGTCCTCTCGGTCTCCAATCCTCGCAGGTGCCCAATCCGAACAGATGCGAGGGCGGGTCAGCGATTGTGCTTGATGCATGAACCATGCTTGTTTATTAATAGTATTATATGTGCCCGGGGGCTGGATTTTCTTTCGCGTCCATGGCAGGGTGTTTCGGCTACAATGGGGGATCTTATGTTTCAGAGGACAGGGGATTCCGGAGCTGCTGGGACCATAGAACGATGCGCAATCTCTGTTCTTGTTTGTTAAAAAAATTTTTTTTTTTTTGTTATTTCGTTTTCTTCTTGGCTTTGGTTGTCCGACGCCCGTCGGCATAGCGCCCAACCTTCCGCATATATGAATGGCGCATGAAGGGCTAGGAGGCAAGAGGGGCAGCTGGACGAGGCAATGGAGAGCGATGAGTCGGAGGAAGCGATGATGGGCGGCGGTAGATGATGGAACGACTCGTGTGGTAGAGCGAGGATGGCAGTCGACCGTTTAGCAGGCATTGCGATATGATACCCTACGGCTGAGCTTTTGAGTTGTGAAATTTCGATGCATTCGCATTACCACAAAAGAATCACAAAGATGTTTAAAAAAAGAAAGATGGATTCCTTCGATAACCTAATATACTATTCTATTTCCGTCACCGGTTGATGTTGAGGGTGGTTCCGTATGCGGGGAGAGACCCAAAGAGTAACTAATGAGTTATACTAGTACTGTGATTATGCTGGTAGTATCTTGACATTTGTAGGTTGGGCAATTGGTAATTGGATACCTATACTGAAGGTACTTAGTAGTATACATATCAGCTGAAGCTATTAGCTGAAACCAGCTGACCAGTGAGGATGTTCCAATGAAGGCATCGGAGGAATTCCTTTTTCCTGAATACGAACTGTCCCATGAGGTAACGTTAACTAGTTAATGGGAGTTGAGTAATGAGTAAGATTGTAACAGCTCGGTTACCGCGTCTGATAATACTACTACTGTATGCATGAGGTCTCATTCTTGAGGCTGTCTAACTCAACTGGTCACTAGTCAACATTGGAGTAGTAAGTAGGTTCTGTACTACCAGTGGATAAAGTGTCTTCGTTCATGATTTTCGCTCATTATTGGTAGACCCTGGTAGACACTCAAAGTATTTTCGCTTTCCCAGGAAATTGATTGCTAGCAGCGTAGTAGATTTTATGAATTTTATTTATCACGGAGGAATCCGACCATGAGAAGAGTCAATGATCTGCTGGAGTACTTGACAGGATGAGAAATGTCTCCATATAAAGCGGAGAAAGATGGTGTGGGTCTCTGTGAAGGGAGGTTGACCAGTTAAGGTGTCATCCCCACCTTTTGGTCTGCTTCCCCCTCATCTTCTCTCTCTCTCTCTCTCTCTCTCTCTTCTTGTCTTGTCTCCTCCCTCTCACCTTTACTCTGCCACTTCCCCTCACTTCTCATCCTCGGTGATCGACAACGCATCCCCCTCGGCTGTCACCGGAGGTTCCTGTCGGTCCAATGTTGTCTCGGTGCGGTCGCGCCGCCGCGAACGCCACTCTGGATGAAGACAAACCATGTTAACCACTTCGGCGGTGCATCGCCCTAGTACAGACCAACACATCTCCGAGCCTGCACGTTAAACGCCGGTGTCCATGCTAACACCCCTAGACTCACGGCACATCAGCGCGGTCTCGGATAGCATGTCCAATTCTTGACCCATCCCGCGGAATGTGACAGGGACTAACTGCTCAGTATCTGCAAGAGGACCCTCATCCTCCCACCAGAACTGACACCGCTCCCTATTCATATTGGCCATGTTGGCGTGTATTGCTGCCAGTCCATTTCTTGTCTCTTCCATCGGCTTCGCATCCGTTACTATTTGTTTCGGTCCCATCCCTTCGACGCTTTCGAAGAGAGGCCCCTCCCTTTTCCAGCATCGTTTTCGATCCACGATGTCACTCCACCCGCAACAGTTGGTACACAACATCTCCCTGCGCGACCCAGAAGGCTTCTGGTCTCGCCAGGCCGAACAACTGTACTGGCATAAACAGCCATCGCGTGCCATCAATCAGCAAACAAAAACAACTCCCAGTGGCTTCAGTCATTCTCACTGGAGCTGGTTCCCGGACGGAGAGATCTCGACCACCTACAACTGTGTCGATCGGCATGTCCATTCGGGACATGGAGATAATATTGCTATCATCTGGGAGTCCCCGGTAACGGGGACGAAGGAGAAATATACATACAAACAACTCTTGGACGAAGTCGAAGTTCTAGCAGGCGTGCTCAGGGAAGAGGGTGTGCGAAAGGGCGACGTCGTTATTATCTACAGTAAGACTTAATTCTGGATTACCTTCAATTAAGATTTAATGAACCAGAATCTAACGATTGGCAGTGCCTATGATTCCTGCGGCACTTATTGCCGCTTTGGCGATCGCACGCTTAGGTGCTATTCATGCCGCAGTCTTTGGCGGTTTTGCAGCCAAGTCGCTCGCACAACGCATCGAAGCGGCCAAGCCTCGCGTCGTCATGACCGCGTCGTGCGGTATCGAAGGGTCGAAAGGTCCTATCGCTTACCGACCGTTGGTTGAGGGTGCTATCGAGCTGAGCCGATTCAAGCCAGAAAAGGTGATCGTCTGGCAGAGGGATCAGTTGCGATGGAACAACCCAGATAAGTTAGGTGGACAACGTAACTGGCAACGACTGGTAAAAAGCGCACGCATGCGTGGCATCAGGGCCGAGCCAGTACCCGTGAAGAGCACAGATGGACTATATATCATCTATACTAGTGGTACGACCCCGATCTTCAGTGAGGCCCTTGGGTAAAACTGACTCGAGAACCAATTCCAGGCACCACGGGCTCGCCGAAAGGCGTGCTTCGCGAGGCCGGTGGGCACGCAGTGGGACTCCAGTTGTCAATGAAACACCTATTCGATATACAAGGCCCGGGAGACGTCATCTTCTGCGCCTCTGACATTGGATGGGTGGTCGGTCATTCATACATCTTGTATGGGCCACTCTTGGTTGGAGCAACGACGATCCTTTTCGAAGGAAAACCGGTGGGAACTCCGGACGCGGGCGCCTTCTGGCGGATTATCGAAGAGCATAAGGCCCATGTGTTGTTCACGGCACCCACAGCCATGCGGGCCATCCGCAAGGATGATCCCAACAATCGCTGCTTCAAAGAGGTGGCCCAGCGAGGCGGTCTCAAACACTTTCGCGCACTGTTTCTTGCGGGAGAAAGGAGTGAACCCAGCATTGTCCAAGCCTACCAAGAACTTCTGAGCCAATACGCTGCTCCTGGTGCAAAGGTGGTGGACAACTGGTGGTCGTCAGAGTCAGGGTCTCCCATATCTGGCTTGGCACTAAGAAGTGCTGCGGCAATGGAGTCGCCCACGCCCCAGACTGATGCAGTGAAGCCATTGGCCATTCGACCTGGATCCGCAGGTCTGCCCATGCCTGGATTTGACGTGCGTGTAGTCGATGACGAGGGGAATCCATTACCTCCGGGCACGATGGGAAACATTGTCTTAGGCATTCCACTGGCGCCCACCGCATTTACGCAACTCTTCAACGACGACGATCGATTTTACCGGAGTTATCTACGTAGATTCAAGGGACAATGGCTCGACACCGGAGACGCAGGGATGATCGATAAAGACGGATATATACATATCATGGCACGATCCGACGACATCATCAACGTCGCGGCGCATCGCTTCAGTACGGGTAAGTCTCGACGTCGCATCACTGAATCTACGTAGGGTTAGTAGATACAGGCTAACACTTCTGTGAAAGGCGCCATCGAGCAAGCAATTCTCTCGCATCCGCAAATCGGCGAAGCCAGCGTGGTTGGCCTTCCGGACCCGCTGAAGGGCCACCTCCCGTTCGCGTTCATTCAACCACGGACCGCGACCGGGCCCATTCCCGCGAAACCTACAGCGGAACTGTTCCAGGAGGTGAACGGGCTGGTGCGCGACCAGATCGGGGCAATTGCGTCCCTGGGAGGCATGATCCAGGGCCGGGGAATGATCCCGAAGACGCGCAGTGGGAAGACTCTACGCCGGGTGCTGCGGGAGCTGGTTGAGCATGCAGTGCGCGGGGAGTACGAGGCGCCGGTAAATGTGCCGCCGACGGTGGAAGATGCCGAGGTTGTGGATGAGGCACGACGACGGGTGCGGGAGTACTTTGAGCGGCAGGAACGGGCGAAGCTGTAATCACTTGTTGGATGACATTGGATACATATAAAGCTGTACGGGTGACATTTGTTGATATATATGGCTGTACTTGCCGAGTTGGATGCCAGGTGCGTGAAGCTGTACTATTGACGATCGATGTTATTGTTTCGTCGATGCACGGATTAGATTTATGTATCTATCGAATGGAAATACGCAATTATTATAAGTGAACATATGTATGTATCTGTATCTGAATTGCTTCAGAGACGTGACTCAAAACATTAAAGTTATAGACAATAGAAAAGCGAGGACATGAACAACCGGAAGCCAAGCGATGCGAAGCCGTAGATGAATATAAATAAAAGAAGAGAAAAAACCATAGACGTCAGAAGATTCCAATAAGGTATAAAGCACACAATAAGTTATTTGTCAGTCGAGTCGTAAAAGAAAAAAAGGTAAAAAGTATCGACACAAACAAAGGAAACCACCCATCCGATCATTTACCTCCACTGATTCGCTAGTATCCAGTAGATTCTCGCATGGTATAGATAGAAGTCCCGAAAGTCAAAAGGGACCTTCTATATGCCTCTATAGATCTGTTCCCATTCACACACATACTCAAGTCAACTCATTTACAGAAGGAAGGCGACGAGAGCGAAGACGGAGGCCAATCCGGCACCAGCACCGGCCGCGGCGCGGGTAGCGGCGCCAGTGAAGACAGGGGCGGAGGGAGTGGTGGCGGAGCCAGAGCCAGTGCCAGCGGCGGAGACACCCTCGGGGGAGGTAGCAGAGGAGCCGGAGCTGGAGCTGGAGCTGGAAGAGCTAGCAGGGGCGGGGCTAGAGGCAGCGGGGGTGGCGCTGGAGGAAGCAACGAGCTTGGAGGAGGCGGGCTTGCTGCTGGGGATCAGAGGGCGAGAAGAGGGGTGGAAGCCACTAGGGGTGGGGACCGGGGTGTAAGAGACGACCGGGGTGGTGGCGCCGATTCCAATGGCACCGGCTCCGCTGGGACCAGCGGAAGCACCGGGGGAACCAGCTCCGGAACCAGCGGCAGCACCGCTGGGGGAGGAGCCGGAGCCGGAGCCAGAGCCAGAGCCGGCGGAGGCACCGCTAGGAGAGGCACCAGAGCCGGAGCCAGAGGCACCCTCGCTAGGGGAAGCACCGGATCCAGAGCCGGATCCAGAGGCGGCCTCACTGGGGGAGGGGCCGGTACCGACAGCAGCGGCGCCGCTGGGGGAAGAGCCGGAGCCAGAGCCAGCGGCGGCACCGCTAGGAGAGGCACCAGAGCCGGAGCCAGAGGCACCCTCGCTAGGGGAAGCGCCAGAGCCAGAGCCAGAGCCAGAGCTAGGAGCCTCACTGGGGGAGGCACCGGTACCGACAGCAGCGGCACCCTCGGGGGTGGAGGTGGCAGGGACGGCAGTAGCGGAGCTGTTGATATCAAATCAGTCAGTTTGAGGTTATTCGGATAGTGATCTTCACGGATGGAGCCGAGAACATACCACTTGTCACAGTGGGTCACAGTCGAGGTAACCAGGGGAGTGGAGTAGGTGTAGGGGGTGCCGGAGATGGTGACGGTGGTAGGCTATATCAAATGGAGTCAGTTGACGCTGATTGAGGCGGAAAATTCAGAAAGTGTGAAAAAGTCGTACCTGAGCAGCAGCCGGGGTAGTCTGGGCACCCGAGCCAGAACCGGCACCAGGACCAGTGGCCAGAGAAGTGGCCTTAGGGCAAACGGTGGTGTACTCGGTGACATAGACAGTCTTGTACTCGGTAGCAATGGCACCGGCAGCCAGGGAGGCAACGACAGCAGCGGAAGCGACACGCATTTTGATGGATGTGGGTGGAATTGAAGGTGCTTTGTTTGGATTTTTGTGTAGAGATTGGATATATAGATGACGTCGAAGGACTGACGGAGAGATAGGATCTCTTTTCTCGTTTGTAAAGACTGTAGTCTTGGGAGGGATTGACTGTGTTCGTGAAAAAGAATGTACTCGGTTGAAGAACCGGAAGAGCTGAAACAGCGAGTGAGTGGAGGGAAGAAAAGAGTGAACGAGAGAGAGAAAGAGAGAGAGAGAAAAGGAGGCGAACCAGCGGGCCGATCCCGATATTAATATAAATAACATTACAGAGTAAAAGGAAGGAGCGAAGAGGGGGCAGCCACCATCGCTCCTTCCAGTCTAGTGCTGTCCGTCCACAGTCGGGCCATTACCAACAATACACATACAGTGAATTAGTGCCTTCTATTATTTCTCCTATCTTCTACCCTTTCTCCGGGGTATTCTTTCCCCCTAGTGACCATACCGTTACCACCTGGAAGTTCCCCACGTTCAATTTCGGGCTGCAGGAACCCAGCGGGCAACTGGCAATGGTGAAACATCACCAATTAATGAGTGCTTCACTGCCTTTCTCTCAGGGTCTGGATGCTGTTGGCATCATTATTCGATCTGTTAGTTTGCTTGGGTCTGTCTTGTTCTGTATTTCCCCCTTCACCGTCTTTCTTTTTGTGGCTACCATCTGTCTTTGGGTCAGGAACCGGGTGTTGTTCACTAAGGTTTAATGACTCCTGAGAATCATTGCCCCCTTCAGTCATAGGTCCATATCCGGTTTCTATTCATAAGTCGCCAAATCTCAGGATCATCCTGCTCGACAGTGCTAGAGTTTGCAGCTGAAGGTCAATGTGAGAGCCTCGCTACGAGGAAACGGAGTACTTAGTAGAACGGAGTATAGTTTTAGTGGATAAACAGTTCTAGATCGTGATCATCGATGTTTTTCTTGACAACTTGCATTCATTAGTTTGGAAGTAGTCCCTGACTATCACATGAACTATACACGGTCTATCATAACCACTATAGATATAATAAGAAAAAAAAAACAACACTTCATCCCATGTCCCAACCATCTCTTATCACCTATCAGCCATGTATAGCTGTGGATCACATCATTTCAGAAGACACACACAAACACGATTCCAATCGGATGGTTCAAATTGTCCCTAATGGATGGTGAGAGCGGGGACATGTCAGCATCGCCCGGGTTAGCCTGATCGAGACCAGACCATCCACGAGAACTGCCAAGCGTAAACGCCCTTCTTCATCTTGGATTTAGTTGTGTGATGAAGAAAGGAAAAAGAAAAGAAGAAGAAGAGAAGAGGGAGAGAAACACACAAACAAAATGAGAGGAGGGAAGCGAGGATTCCCGCAAGCGAGCTCGGAACCGGATTATCTTCTTCTCCCGGACGCACGGACCCCTCGGAGATGCTAAACCCGATTGGGGCTAGAGTCAGGTGCTTCCCGCGGGCAACTGGCGGCCAGTCGGGCAAGCTCGTTATCAGCGCCGGAGAGCTGATACCATCACCGCGCATTCCTTGCGTCTTCGTCTGCTGGGTCCCTCGTTCCCTCCTCTTCTTTTCTTCTTTTATCTTCTCCATTGCCTCCCCTTCCCCTCTCTCAATCTGATCCCGTTGTACATCACACATTCTGCATCATGTTGAGTCGCTGTGGACGTCAGGCCTCGCGCCTGATCCCGCGCACGGCAAGCTCCGCTATTCGGTCGACTGCCATCCCTCTCCAGCTTCGTCCTGCGACGGTTGCTCCTTTGCGCCTGCCGGGACAAGGCCGCAGCGTGTCCTCTTCGACTCGTGAAGGACAGCAGACTGTATGTGTTTCCTCATCGTGCGGATTTCGCGCAATGCAGCAGCTTCCGGGTTGCCTGATGTCATTCCATATCTTTATCGTACCATACCCGCTAACTACCGTCTCCAGCTGCTCTCCGCACCCCTCGAGGAGTCCGACCCCGCCATCTATGACATCCTCCAGAAGGTAGAACTGGCCAATTCTTCAAGTGCAATTGGTATATCCACTCACCCCAGGAATAGGAGAAAAAACGTCAGCAACATTTCATCAACCTCATCCCCTCCGAGAACTTCACATCGCAAGCTGTCCTCGATGCGCTGGGCAGTGTCATGCAAAGTCAGTCATGATCCCTCATTCGATCCTGGGAGCAGCAGAAGCTGACGCAACAACAGATAAATACTCGGAAGGATATCCCGGTGCCAGATACTACGGTGGAAACGAACACATTGACGCCTCTGAACGGCTATGCCAGCAGCGTGCGCTCGAGACCTTTGGCCTTAACCCCGAAGAATGGGGTGTGAACGTGCAACGTGAGACTCCTATACTGGCATTGGCGTGCGACAACTATACTGACCAGCACAGCGCTGTCCGGCTCGCCCGCTAACCTTTACGCCATTTCCGCCATCCTCAACACCCACGACCGCTTGATGGGCCTGGACCTGCCCCATGGCGGTCACCTGTCCCACGGCTACCAGACCCCCACCAAGAAGATCTCGTTCATCTCGAAGTACTTCGAAACGCTGCCCTACCGGCTAGATGAGTCTACCGGTCTCATTGACTACGACGCCCTGGAGAAGCAGGCGCTTCTCTACCGCCCCAAGCTCATCATCGCCGGTACCTCGGCCTACAGCCGCTTGATTGACTACCCTCGCATGCGCCAGATCGCAGACGCCGCCGGCGCATACTTGCTGAGCGACATGGCTCACATCTCCGGTCTCGTGGCTGCGGACGTCCTCCCGTCGCCCTTCGCCCACTCAGATGTGGTGACTACCACGACCCACAAGTCGCTGCGGGGTCCCCGCGGCGCGATGATCTTCTTCCGCAAGGGTGTCCGTCGGACGGACAAGAAGGGCAACCCGGAGATGTATGACCTGGAGGGCCCGATCAACGCGTCCGTGTTCCCTGGTCACCAAGGTGGCCCCCACAACCACACTATCACCGCCTTGGCTGTGGCGCTGAAGCAGGCGCAGTCGCCTGAGTTCAAGACCTACCAGCAGACGGTGCTGGCCAACGCGAAGGCCCTGGCAGATCGTCTTGGCAGCCCGCTCAGCAACGGAGGCCTGGGATACAACATCGTCTCTGGCGGCACTGACAACCACCTGGTGCTGGTGGACCTGAAGAACCGCGGGGTGGACGGCGCGCGCGTCGAGCGGGTGCTGGAGCTGTGCGGTGTTGCCAGCAACAAGAACACGGTGCCGGGTGATAAGTCGGCTCTGAAGCCCGGTGGTCTACGTCTGGGCACGCCGGCCATGACCACGCGAGGCTTCCAGCCAGAGGACTTCCGCCGCGTCGCAGACATTGTGGACCGGGCGGTGATCATCACACAGAAGCTGGACAAGGCAGCCAAGGAGAGCGCGGCTGCAAAGGGTGTGAAAAACCCGAACACCGTCAAGGCTTTCTTGGAATATGTACGCGAGGGCGAGGAGATTCCGGAGATTGTGCTCCTGCGGCAGGAGGTGGAGGACTGGGCGGGAACATTCAGTCTGCCTTGGGCTAAGGATGAGTAGGAGAGGCGGGGGAAATAATCATGGTTATGTTTAATTTACGAATGCATGTCTGTACAGTGAAATTAAAATGTTCAACACATCATAACAGGGATCTTTTACTAAGTAGGAGGAGTAATGGAATTCGGAGAGAGTCGGGGAAGAAGGGAAAACCCGTGCGGAGACAAAGGCAAGACGGAGAAGGGAGAGACCCGCCGATAAGAAAAAAGCGCCGATAGGACAAGCAAGTTGGAGTCATTTTCCCCTCCGAGTCTGGATTCCCCGGCTTATCTCCGCGTGGAGCTAGCTTGCTTTGGCTAATAATTCCCGCGGAATGCATCACTCAGTCAGTCATCCTGACCCTGCATCCCTTCTTTCTTTCTTTCTTTCTGTCTGTCTTTCTTCTGGATTCACTTATATTAACATATACAATATACATCAACTATAATACTACATACTCCTAAAACAGAATCACTATGCACATCAGTCAAGTACATCATTCCCCACATCCATATATTCTTCCATCTATGCCCGTATCCCAGTATCAAAACTAGTAATACTAACAATAATCAACCAAAAGCTCTACACGTACCCCATCAAATCCCTTCAAGGCGTCCCCATCTCCAGCGCAACCTTCACTCGAACCGGCTTCCCCTATGACCGCCATTATATGCTCCTCAAAGTCCTTCCCAATGGCGAATACAAGAATATGCATGTGCCTCATTTCCCGGAAATGTCGCTATTCTATACCGATATCATTCACAGTGATGATGGCAAGAAAGCAACAGGGTCTGGGTCCAGCAGGATAGTGGTTACATATCGTCCTCCTCCTTTTGCTGATCAATCCCAGTCCCAGCGGAAGTTGGAGGTACCGCTGGTACCCGATACGGCGGGGTTGAAGGAAGTAGAAGTCGTCATGCACCAGAGTCCGACAAAGGGCTATATCATGGGAGAGGAGTATAACGGGTGGTTTAGTGAGTGTTTTGGATATCGGGTGGTGCTTGTCTATTTGGGCGGGAATTATAGAGGTGTTTTGGGAAGTTTTGCGCCGGAGAAGAGTGCGGCGCATAGAGGCATACAGGGGTGGTGGTGGAGGGACGGGGTGCTAGGTCTAGGAACAGGGCTGGTGGGTGTGATGATTTTGTTGTCTTGGGTAGGTATGAGTATGGGATTACTGGGGGGTATAGGAGCAACAGGGGCAGCAGGAGCTGTTGTTTGGTATGGAGCTGGACGCCAGAATAAAAAGGAAGAGCAGATTACTTTTGCTGATACGGCGCCGTATCTGATTGTGTCGCGCACTTCAGTCGAGGATGTCTCGGCACGGTTAGCTGGTGATGAGGAAATGGACGTTACCAAGGCCCGGCCGAACATTGTTATATCTGGCGCAGAGACGGCCTTTGAGGAGGACTTTTGGGCTGAAGTGCAGATTGGAGAGCCTGGTTCGGCGAGGCTATTGCTCACGGCCAATTGTATACGGTGTCAGAGTCTTAATGTTGATTATACGACGGGGAAGATGGGTACCGGCGAGTCAGGGACTGTGCTAAAGAAGCTGATGAAGGATCGCCGAGTCGATAAGGGCGCCAAATTCAGTCCAGTGTTTGGTCGATATGGGTTTTTGGATGGAGGGTCGGATGGCCGGACGGTGCGGGTTGGAGATGCGGTAGTTGTAGCAAGAAGGGTTAAGGAACGGACGGTTTATGGTGAGTGTGCTACTGTTCTACCTTCTGAGAGTTCTTGTGTGACTGACAAGTACAGATTGGCCGGGATTGACCAACTGATGGACATTAAAGAGGGTAGATATATAGATGTAGGATACTATGGATAATTCTTAGCGATAGAATCTGATTGGCGATGACGTATCGACTACTAGACCATTTACTCCTCACCACTTTTGCTTCTCCCCACATCAACATCAACCTCAACGTCAACCACCACCTCCCCTACAGTCTATCCCAGACAGTTACATCACCATGTCTGAATTCCCTCCATCCAGTCTTCGCCCCCTTATCGAAGAAGTCTTTGACCTTCTCCGCACCCGCAAAGAGACCATTTCCGTCGCTGAAACCGTACCCCTCCCTCTGCTTACCCCACCGTGGTCCCTTTACAACTGACCAAGGCTATTAATTATATAGGCAGCTGGAGGCCTTATTTCTGCCTGTCTCCTCTCAGCCCCAGGCGCATCCAGCATCTACAAAGGCGGGCTTACGGTACTCAACTTTCACTATACACATCATCTCCCAATGGCTAACAGGCCTAGGTATACACCCTCGACTCCCGCATTACCTACACCGGCTGGACCCCTCAGCATCTAGAGAACTACAGTGGCCCGACCCCAGAAATAGTGGCGGGGATCGCGGAAAATGTGCGCGGCACACTGAAATCTACATATACCGTTTGTGAGAGTGGCACGGCAGGACCGACAGGTGGGACGAGCAGGAATCGGACCCCGTGAGTGAACCGATCTCTACTATTATCTCCTAATATATCGGAGAAAGGGCCGTCGTATAGAACGATGCAAAGTGTGCTGATACGTAGTTCTGCAGTGGATATGTGGCGCTCGCAGTATCGACGCCGTCTGGAACGGTGACAAGGGAGGTGGAGACGGGAACCGCGGAAAGAGAAAAGAACATGGTGCTTTTTGCCGGGGAGGGATTGAAGTTGGTGAGGGATTTACTTGTTGGTGAGGTTAAGCCTACCACTCCAGCACTGTAGAAGAGATCAAGAGGAGTGGAGTGGGAGGAAGTCAACTTTGGGTTGGGAATGTGAGTTTATTGATCCATGGATGTACTGAGACTGGATGGTGCTGTGCTTCTATTTCGGGCTGTGTAGAGCTGGTTACCTATTTCAGTACTAAGTTGATATGGCGAGGATTGATGCATTGCATTGTCGGTGTGATACAACTAGTAGCACCAACAAATTACGGTGTGGTAGAACAAACAACTCAAAGAAAGTGAGGGTATCTGCAGTCTTTGTCATGATATCATGCAAGAAGAGAAAACAGTGGTGCCTGAAAGGGTAATTCGGCATCGGTAAAATGCCGAATTGAATACGAACTTACGGCCCAAACGGGAAACCGGCACCGCCCTGGTGGGAACACCGCCACAGCTTGTTCCACTTCCAGCCAATGAACATGCACTATTACTGCCCTACGCGGGCTTCCTTATGTCATCGTGGGCCCGACCGTGGCGCAGCGCTCACCTGCATTTCCCGCAGTTTCTCTCTTCATCCCGCAAAGGCCAAAAGATCTTCTTGCCTTCGTGCTACCACTACTTACTACTCTGTCGGGCGCTTCTTCTCTCACACCATCTCAAGTATCTTCACATCCCGGTCATATCATTCTCGATAGCACCTCTTCACAACACCTCGCCTTTATCATCTATCAGCCCATCGATCCATCCTCATCCGTTTCGCCCGGCGGGGTCATGGATTACTCCGTCAACCTCCGCCGCAAGGATACCACCAAGGGTCCGCCTTTGCGGATCCTGTCGCTTGGTCAGTATCTGTTCTAGATGCTCATAAAGAAGCCCCCACTAACCTAACACGTGAATGGCAGATGGCGGCGGCGTCCGTGGTTACTCCATGCTTATCATCCTCCAAGAACTCATGTACCGCGTCTACGTTGAATGCGAAGGCAAAGCTCCTCGTCGCGATGAAATCCCCAAACCCTGTGACCACTTCGACCTCATTGTTGGCACCGGAACCGGCGGCCTAATCGCCCTCATGCTGGGCCGGCTACGCCTGGATCTCGAGACCTGCAAAGATGTCTATGTCCGCATGACCCGCCGCGTGTTCGAAACCGACAAGACGTTCGCCGGCATCCCGTTCCATAAGACACTGTTTAAGGCTTCCAAGCTGGAAGAAGCCATCCGCGAATGCGTCCGCGAGCATACCGTCTTCGAAGCGGAGGGGAACGATTTGAGCCCGTCGGCGCGTAATTCGCTGGCCAGTGCCCCTTTTAGTCCCAACTCCATGTCGGTGCCCCAGCGCTCGGGCAGTCGGGCTAGCTTCAGTACTACTGGCTCTCATTCGTCGGGTCATGCTAGTCAGCGCAATTCGACATTTGTGAACGGTTTGCGCTGGGGGAATCCGGATGCGCTGTTGTATGATAACAGGGAGTATCGGACGAAAACGTATGTTTATTCTTTTCATTGCTGTCTTGCCTTCTTCAACTTTTTATTGCTTGCCTCTTTTTCTTTGTGACTATGTGCTGACTGATTAGTGCTGTGACTGCACTCTACAAAGGTACCACGTCCCGCAACGGCTCTACCGTCCTCCTCCGGTCCTACGATTCGCGCAAAGAACCCCCGCCCGAGTTCAACTGCACCGTCTGGCAGGCTGGTCGTGCCACTTCGGCCACCGGGCTAGCCTTCAAACCCATTCAGATTGGACAGCACGTCTTCATCGACGAAGGTGCCGGTACCTATAACCCCTCGCCGCAGGCGCTGGATGAAGCGGTTATGAATGAGTGGCCCGGTCGCGAAATCGGTGTGTTTGTCAGCGTGGGAACTGGCAAGCGCCCACCAGGCACCAACAATCGGCAACACGAGTGGTGGGAGGACTTCTTTGGGGATGCCCTGGGCACATTCGCGGAAGCCCGTCGACGCCTGATCGCCAAGATCGAAGGTTGCGAGGATATTCATTTGGCGATGCTGCGCGACCATCTAGCTAAGCGCAATGTGAGCAAGGACAACTACTACCGGCTGAACGTCGAGGTGGGCGTGGGCGAGTTTGGCATGAATGAATGGAACCGGCTGGCAGACATCAGCACCAACACGCGGCGTTACCTGACACGACCGGAGGTGAAGCACCAGATCCTGGATGCGGGTGTCAAGTTCGCCAAAATTGAGCGCCAACACCGCCGGCTGGCTGACCATGCCGCGGCGGGTCAGGTCGATGATGGGACCTCGTCTATCATGCACAGTCCAGTGCTGTCGGTGCCGCCGCCATCGCACCCGATGGCCGTGGAGCTACCAGCTGAGCTGCCGGGTGACTTTGTGCCTTATATCACAACAGAGGACTCGCTGCCGGCGCACCCCACGCCACAGGATACTGTTCTGCCATCACCAGGGCGGACATCAGGCGACCTGGCCAGTCCGGGGGCTGGCGAGGTCAGTCGGCCTAGCTCGCGGACGCACGGGTCCTCTCGACCCAGCACCGGGCATGGCCACGATGAGATGCCTCCGCCGGTGCCTCCCAAGACACCGATTCCTTATCCTTCTGAGTACCCTAGTGAGCTGGGAGGGATTCCGATGCCGATGCCGACAACGACCAGCCCGGGACACAGTCACAGTGGAAGTTTGAGTGGGAAACTTCGACCGCCGTATCCAGTGGACGAGCCGCCGGTGGTAAACAAGCAGCGGAAGCCGAGTTACCATGTGCGGTGATGATACCAATACCTTCCTGTATCTATTTTATGCTTTTTTCTTTTTTGATTTCTGATGATGAGTCTACTTCTATGGTGTATGAGGGAGGCGTCTGCGAGAATCCTGCGAGGAAAGCGGGCGATTTCCGGTTATGATCTGATGGATACCCTAATGACCCGTTAATGAATGAATATTATTGTTGAGAAGGCTGGATAGTGTGCGTAGATAGAAATGGTTGTAAAATGTTCTAGAAGGATAGGCAAATTAAAACGAGAAGAAGCATTGCGACGAACCGTGGATCGGGATGTGCTGCGCCGCCCAACTGGCGCCGGATCAACCAACGATTGACTTCAGTTTCCCAGCCTCGCTTTTCTCTGCAACAAACAAACAGTTCATCTTACGCAAGCCATTCTTCTTTTCCCCCCCTGCTGTCCTGCTTTTCTGTACTTTCTCCTCCCCTTGTTCTTCTACTAAGATTAGTTTACATACCTTCCCCTCACTTCCTCGCAGCATCAGATCTCGATCAGTATCGATCTGGCACATTCCGATCCCACGGACCTGTCGATCGCACGCCTTTTTTGCATTCCTCGATCCGCTGTCAGTCTGACCTCGTGGAATAGCAGTCCAATCCAATCAATCAACAGTCTATCTATTTCGCCCCTGCAGCGCCTCAACCATTCATCCATGGCTGTCTAGCGCCAGGCCCCAACTAATTATATCTCACTCTCGCTTATCGCTCCTCCCCCCTATTATCCTTCGCGCCCGATCTCACATACGACACCTTCTTCCTCTCTTCCACCTGTCAGCACGGCATCGACACGAGAGAGTGATTGAGTAAGATTCAAGACACTGCAGGCAGTGTCCCCGATGCAGCCGAGCTACTCATCATGGACTCCGATAATCCACTACATCCTGTGAACTTCCTCGCCGCCCGCGCCGACAGTTCCTCCCGTCCAGCCTCCTACAAAGCCATCGGCATCTCTCTCGCCATCGCCTCGGGCTTCTTCATCGGTGTCTCCTTCGTACTCAAGAAGAAAGGTCTCCTCCGCGCCAACGTCAAGTACAATGAAGAAGCCGGCGAAGGGTACGGATACCTGAAGAACCTCTTCTGGTGGGGCGGGATGACCCTGATGATCATCGGGGAGCTGTGCAACTTTGTTGCCTATGCTTTTGTCGACGCTATCCTCGTGACACCGTTGGGCGCACTGACGGTCGTCGTGACCACCATTTTGTCGGCGATCTTCCTGAAGGAGAGGCTGAGTTTTGTTGGGAAAGTAGGCTGCTTTTGCTGCATTTTGGGCAGTGTGGTTATTGCGCTGAATGCGCCGGAGCAGTCGTCGGTGAGTGATATTCAGGAAATGAAGAGCTATGTCATTGCTCCGGGATTTTTGTCCTATGCTGGAGTGATTATCGTGGGGTGTATCGTCACAGCGGTTTGGTTGGGGCCTAAATATGGCAAGAAGAGCATGTTTGTGTATATCAGCATTTGCTCGTTGATTGGAGGGTTGAGTGTCGTGGCAACGCAGGGTCTGGGGTCTGCTATTCTGGCTCAGATAAATGGCGAGGCGCAATTTAACCAGTGGTTTATGTATGTCTTGCTGGTGTTTGTTATTGCGACGCTGTTGACTGAGATTATCTATCTCAATGTGCGTTCCTCCCCTACCCTTGTTGTTTTTGATTTCCGAGATTTATTTGGATCAGTCATGCTAATGCCTAGCAGAAAGCCCTCAACATCTTCAACGCTGCGCTGGTCACTCCCACCTACTATGTCTTCTTCACCAGTTCCACCATTGTCACCTCCGCCGTGCTGTTCCGCGGCTTCAAGGGCTCCGTCTCCTCCATCGTCACGGTCATCCTGGGCTTTTTGCAGATCTGCGCTGGTGTCGTGCTACTGCAGCTGTCCAAGTCCGCCAAAGACGTCCCCGATGCCGCTGTCTTCAAGGGAGATCTCGACCAGGTGCGCGAGGTCGCCACGCAAGAAGAGCCTGAATTCGAGCCCAAGGCCGACTCCATTCGCGCCACCGCCGCCATCATTCGTCGCCTCTCTACCCCACGTCGCCAGATGGAAGCCGAGGAAGCCCGGCGCTATTTCCACGACCGCGCGGAGGACATGAAGCCCCCAGCGGAGAATGAGGTGATCGAATGGGACGGGTTGCGCCGGCGCAAGACCGTCCTCGGCGAAGGTCCAACCACCTTGGGACGCACGCGAACCCTTCGCAACCCCTCGGTCAAGTATCCCGTTCCGCCACTGGGCATGTCGCACGTACCGGAAGAGCGACCAGACGAGCCTGAGCGACCCGACACGAAGCAGAGCAGCCATTCCTTCCTCGACGACCTGCGATCTCGCGCTTCGAGCCTCTTCCATCCCGCCTGGCAGCCCATTCAAGATGAGCATACCACGCCGGACCCTGTTACCTTGACAGCTCTGTCTGCCCACAAGCCGCATCCCGACACCCGCTACCCGCAGTCCATCGCAGACGACTCGCGCAGCCACACGCCATGGGGAGAAGAGCGCGGGGCCCCCTCCCCGCCACCCCACGGCGGCGCTCGACGCCAATTCTCATTCAACACCATGCTCCACCGCATGAAAACAGGCCACGAAGCAACTGCATCGCGAAGCAGCATTCCTCCCCGACCGCCTCGCCACCGGGCGCAGTCCGTCACCGAAGAAGAACGCCTCGGCCTCGTGCGCGGCGACTCCCGCGGCGAGACAGCACCGGACGACGATGTGGACGAGAAGCTCGACCGATTCGACTCACACGATAGTACATTCGACGATGGACCCGGCCGATTGCCTTCCGGATCAATGCACTCGCCGGAGCTATACCCAGCCCGACTGCGCGTCAACCCGCTTCCACCGCTCCCGGACGAAGAGCCGCTCGAAGATCCGTATGCGCCAGTGGATATGGGCCGGCGCGGATCGCATAGTAGCGCGGGGACGCTGTCGTCGAGCGGACGGAGTATGGGCTGGCGCAGACATGGATCGGCGAGTAGTGGAGGCAGTGTGCAACTGCCAGGGAGACGAGGAGCATTCATCTAACGATATTGATTGGACATATATTGGGATGTATGATATGAGATACGAAGATATGATATGAACAGGATGATATTAATGTATATAGTATGATAGATAGATAATGTTATGAAAGTGATGAAATGATATTTGATGTAGACGACGTAAATGCAAGCACACTCCTCTGGTTCGTCCTCAACTGAACAGCATATTTCGCCTCGGAGAGACGTTTCCCTGCTGCAATACTATCCATAGCCCTACAACAATTAGCACATCCCATTAAACCACCCTATTATTAAGTAAGAGGGAAAAAAAAGAGGACATACCACTGAACCCTCACCAACTTAACCCCCTTCCACCCACCCCTTTGTATCTCCTTTTGTAGTTTTCCAGCTGCTAACCCACCCCCTGCCCCTGCCCCTGCTACCTTTATTCCTGATTTTATTGATGATGAAGAAAAAGAAGGAGTATTAGGTTCCCCCAGAATAACATGGGTAACTCCACGATGCATATGAAGCGAGAGATTTGCGCCGTGCGAGATGAGAAGATGTTTGAGTTTGTGGTCTGAGACGGTGGGTGTTGTTTGGCCGTTTATGTGGATGGTTAGGGAGGAAAAGATTGTAGATGTAGATGTAGATGCATTATGTTCTCTCCTTGATATTGATTCTGTGTCTGTGTTTGTGTCTGGTATTTTATTCCCATTATCGTCTTGATGATCAATTCTTATCCTCTTCTTCTTTTCATGACTATCCAACGATGTAGCATCTCTCTTCAATGATAATGATGATATCTCAAAACCCTTCTTAGACATCATAGATATAGTAGATTGTGAAGGAGGAATTGATTTCGGTTTCGACACTCCAAACATACTCCGTATATCTCTCTGCTGCTGCTTCTGCTGCTGCTTCTGCACTTCTGCAGGTATCTGGGTCACAACCCACTCCCCTTTACTCCCCCCATCAATATCATATGTACAATCCCCCCTGCCCGCCCCAAACTGTCTGGTGAGTTTCTCTCGTCGGGTCTCGCGCCATGAGGTATTTCCGCGGGAGGATCCGGGGTCGGCGATTTGGTGGCCTGTTGAGGAGGAGTTCCAGGTGTCGAAGGTGAGGTGGTTTGTTGGGAGGGGGGGAGGTTTTGAGGGAGGTGGAGGTGGCATTGCAGAGTAGTAGTATCTTCTGTGGAGATTGAGTTGTGAGGGAAGTGTGAAGTTATTTGTTGGTGTGTGTTTTTGTTTGGTGGTTGGAGGGGATACCGGAGTTTCTTATCAGTCATGTGATGTTGGTTATCGGGGAGGGTGAGGGTTTATCTTATCGGTGATGGATGGGAGTAGTACTGTAGACTACCGAGTATGAAATATTGAGTGCGATATGTTTTGTGAGATTTGTGTGTTTAAGTTAACGTGTTGGGTTTGGTTGTGATGGTAGGGGTAGTATGGTGGTATGGTGTAGATTGTTACCACTATCGCTGCAGTGATGTAGTATACGCTAAGTCCATACATTATATATAACCACCATGGGAGAACAATATCCTACAACAACATCTTCTACTACTATTGCTAACAGCAGAGATATATTATAGATAGTATCACTACCAGCAACAACAGCAAAGCAACTACACCACTACAAGAATTAAGTTAATTTACCTCACCTCACCTCACCTCACCTCGCCTTGCTTGACATAGCATGATCCATCCGTGGTATGGTAGTAATTCCATATGCTTCAATTGCACACATAACTTGAATCTACTAAATCTACCACACTAGGTGTACATAAATCCTACATAAGCACATACTTGACATACAGTAGTTATGCTATGCATACACTACACTGCACTCTACATAAAATGTACCATCTATACCATCAATAAAATATATTTCAGAATATATGAGATACGTAGTATAGAAGCATAGCAACGAGTCCCTCGCACAATATCGTCAAAGCCAGTAGATCATAGATCATAGATCATACCACTCACTCACATTCCAACCTCCTCTTTTTCCTCCCCCCCTCTCTCCGCGGAAAGACGGTGAAGAAAATGAGAGAAAAGATAGATGAGCTCATCGTGGCTGGCTGGCTGGCTGACGACGAAACCAACCAAGGATAATATTACACAAAAAAGTGGGAAAAAAATAAGTTGGGATGATGCATCCTGCACGGGTTTGTGTAGCCTTGTTCTAGCCCTCTGTGTTGCCCAGCATTCTTTTTCCAAGTATGTAGGATCATGTATATGTATGTATGTATATGTGGATGTATGCAAGTAGTAATAGGCAATACTGAATTAAGGAAGAGGGAGGGAGAAAGAATTAAACTCAAAAGCTATAAGAAGAATATAATAAAAGAAACGGTAAAGAGTGTGAGTGAGTGAGTGAGTGATTGAGTGGCTAATGGAATGAATCAAGGGATAAACGTTAACCAACATAATGACTGACTCGATAAAAGAAATCCAATAAAAAATGTCAGCTGATGTAGGGTCACCATCGTCATCATCGTCATCGATTTTCAGTTCAATGTTATGTATGTATCTCTATCTGTATTTTCTGAATCCATATATGTATGTACGTTGTTGCTGCTGCACTCTGCATTACTATATTAGGAAACTTTTCATGAACCTACTTCACTAGTTAAGTTCAAACCCTACTTTACTTTGATGGTGGTTGGGGTTACTATCTATTTCTCACTCGTGCAGCGATCGACAGATTCCTCATCCTTTATGTACATACGTTATATCATCTGTATATCTATTCCTACTTTATGTATCCTATCACTAGTACCCATAGGCAGATATAACTGGCAAATGATAGTATATGTAACTTTGTATGTATGCATCACGGGTTGTTGCAGCTGAAACCAAACAACGCCATTCCAACGCAAGGATAGTCTAAGTAGTGGTACTTTCCAATTACTAGTTAGTAGTTAGCGGTCTGTCTGTCTGTCTGTCTGCCTACCTGCCTGGTCTGCCGTGTGTGGGAGAGTGTGAGTTCAATTCCCGTTTCTGCCATCATCACGTTCATTAATCTTTTTTTGCCAACTCACTTTTTGCCAGATTAATCTGGATGTGCAAAGATACGTGGTCGCCTCCACCGCCAGTCGGTGCGGCCCCCCCTCCTCCCCTCCCCTCCCACGTCTTCCCACCTCCTCACCAACTACTCACCCACTAACCAGCTTCATTACCCAATCATGACCAGCACAACCCCTCAAGTCGAGAATCTCGCCTCAGACAATCGGGCGACGAGGGTCCGTGTCGCTTGGCGCTGATCATCGTGGCCCGTTTGGTCTTCCTTCCTTCCCTCCAATTTCCTTGTGTTGCCGGTTTTACTGTAGTCCATCCATCCATCCATCCATCCATCTCATCGTCCTCCAAAGCCCGGGTTCCCCGATCTGGTAGGTCATCTCCTTATGGAACTGTTCACTGAATGTCCCGTATCAGGAAAGTTGAACAATAATTCATAAAAAGAAGGAAAAAATAAAAGTAAAAAGAAAAGGAAACCCCACTATTGCTATACTACGATGATACTCTCTTATCTTTCCGGTCACTTTTCCTTCTTTAAAAATGGAATCTTCTGAATCGTGACATCAGCCACCAACAATCCGATTCTTCACTGGCCGGTCGCATTATCCCACTGAAACACCATCCGGATCTTTAAGGTTGCAGCAATCCGTCAGCGTTATCTTGACCGCTAAAGTCCCTGTCTAGGCAGCAGCCCTTTTCAAATTGGTCATCGTGAAAAAGGAGGAGGAATAGATGAAAGTAATCCACCCCCGTGGATGTCCAGAGGGGGAGTGAGTAGGATCGTTCAAAGCTTAGTGCACTTGCTATCCACCTGCGCAGTCGATCGTGCACGGGTAACAACGGAACATGCAATGTAAGGTTAATTACTGCGTGCAGCAGTCCTGACCACTCACGTTGGCCTCTGCCCACTGTCCGTCCCCTCTCGCTACCGTGAGATGAGATGCCTCTAAACTCATTCCTGGCCCTTTCTTACGGCACCAATAACGCTCCGGAAAAGGAGAGAAGGATGGGATGGGGAAACCAACTAACGGTCGTGGCCGCCGTGCTGGAGACAGTGATTTCACGTCGAATTTCCCCTCCGCACGCGCCCGTCCAATCGACTCCGTCCGAGTCTGTCCGGAGGAAAGTGACGGGCTCGGGCTGAATTCGGCTGTGGTTGGCGTGCTGGAGAGACGACCGGGGGTGGTTTGAAGCTGATTTAGTGTGGTTTTTTAGGGTCGTCGCTGAACAGTTGAGGGGAACACAGCCAATGGACGCGCGAATTTCCTTTCCCTAGTTGGGAGACCGGTCATCATCGACCAGAGAGGCATGGATAGATTGATGCGTTGAGATCGCTCGTGCTGACGGTTGCACAAGACCCGGGAGTTGGGGGCCATATCACATTCCGGCCGGAGAAGTAGAAATCGATCAGCACGGGATTATTTGCCTTTTTGCCAAATGTGTAATTGTCTTCTAGAATGGCAAATACCCCCTTCCCGTAGATTTATCTCCCTTTGTTCGGGGGGCGTCAAGCTACTCACTAGCCTAGAAATTGTCCTCGACCGGTTATTCCCGTGGCCAACGTTGCACAGCAGGGGGGGGGGACGGGGGGCGCAATGTAATCCTCGTCCATTATCCGGAGATTCAGCATCCGCGTGAGCAGCTAGACAACTAGATCCTAAGGAAGAGCAGGGGTCATCAGGGGGGGCGCCATGGTTAGTGTTTTTAGATAGTACGGCGTGCTGAGGCAGAGAAGAAAAAAAACTGAAGGGAGTGGAGGAGTCTGCCTTAGTGTCTGTTGACCACCATTCGGAGCAAACTAGCGCCCTGCTAAGGTGCAAGTAGTAAGGCGACAGACCGGCTACCTAACTAACATCTGCGCCATGCCCAGTGCACGCTGCCTCGGTACTACCATCCTGGCGGCTGCAGGTTATCGACTGCTGAAGAATGAAGCAGTTCGCCGGCACAGTGACTTGGGAAGCGGTCCTTCCTTGGGGCGTGCATGGCAGCTGCAGGTACCGCCGGAAACCTGACAGGTGAGTAGTCGCTAGTAGTCTAGACGGGGTCTCATAGCACTGGAGAGTGGAAATGAGACATTGGGGGGGGGGGGAAAGAGAGGGGAACAGAGAGAGACGGTTGGTTAGTAGGAAAGTCCAAGGCCGTCCGTCGAGCACCGGACCGATAGCGATCTCAGTCATAAGCGACCCGAGAGGAGGTTATCCACGCATTGGCGGTACAAGAGAAATCGGGCCCCACAGTCAGGACCGGAGTAATTCCTATCCTGCTTTGGATTTAATTGTCTCTCCCATGATCAATCAATCAATCAATCAATCCATCAAGTAGAGTGGAGGGGGTGGTTCATGGACAAGTCTCGTCCGAGGCTCACACTGCTCCGACGAAACATACACATGATTAAAAATTGGTAGGAAAAATAATGGTACCACGTAATGACGGGGATGTGTCGAATTGTCGATAGATTAATTAAAGGAAAGACAGAGGATGATAGAGAGAGAGAGAGGCAAAAAAAAAAAAGAGGGGAAGCGAAAGACAAGACGGATCGAGTTGATCTCCGTGCATTTACGCTGTTGAGTCTAGCGTGACCCGGACGGGCCCTTCAACTCGTTGAAATCCTGAGCTCTGCTCTCTCCGCGGTTCACTCCGGCGCCAACTCTAGACCAACTCCTGTGAGGTGGAGATTCCACGACTTGTCATTTGTCAATTGGCATCCTCGGGCCATTTGGGGATTTCCGGCCCAGGGAAAGAGAAAAACATAGCGTGCTGGTTTGAGTACTTTGTAGAGTGGATTAGCAGCAGTAGTAGTAGTCTAGTTAGTGTAGTTGTGTCTCTCAAGTTTAGTCTAGTCCAGTCTGACTGTCCGCGAAATTGGAGAGGAGAAACAACACTAGCCAGGATGCTATGGCACGGAAGTACCTATGGGCTTAGGACTCTGCATGCTCTGCAGCGCCAGGGCTAGCGCCACTGGGTTCCTGCTCCAAGCAAAAGGTTTGCCCAGGATGCCCAGGGCTGCGTTGTAGCTGGATGGCGCTGGTCGGCGATAGCTGCGGTGCAAGTTTGAACGACCTCCCGATTGGATCCATGACCCTGGCCATATTCAACTCAAGGTGAATAACTCCGTCGGGGCCAACCATCTTTGCCGTCTACCCTGC